ATCTGACGATGTGGTCGAGCTGGGTGATTGCGATGCTGGCATTCGCAAGCTCGCCGATGCGCTCGGATGGCGAGACGAGCTTGAGAAGCTTTGGAGACAGACTGTGGGCGATGCCGAGGCGGATCGACAACTCGGTGGTAGAGAAAAGAATGATGTGCAAGACGAGGTTGAGCGCTTGGCCGCTGAAGTCGGTGCTGTCGTTATTGACGAGAGTGACGAAGGGGGTGTGCTATCGGAAAAAGAGCCCACGAAGCACAAGGATGGTCCTGCTGTTTCGGAAAAGCCAAAGGATGAGGACAAGCAACGAGAACCAGAAATGGTGACAGCTACAGCTACTACGGATGTGGAAGAGGATACCAAGGAGGCGCTCAAGACTCAGCAACCTAAACTGGACCAAGCCCACGTTGAGCAGCTCCAGGCTGAAGCAAGCAAGACAGAGTCTTTAGTCACAGAGCCGCCTAAGCCACAAACCCCCAAAGAAGACCCACCACAGGTAGAGAAGTCAAAGGAAGAGGCTACAAAAGAAGGTACCGCGCCAGCAACTCTCAGCACCGAGGAGAAGTAGTTACTTCTTCAGTACTATGAGTACAGATGGGGCGTTCCAGCACTTAAAAGTGCACGAAAACGGTGTCGGTGTAAAAGGTTCTAAATTCCTGCTCATCATAAACTGATGGTAGACGACTAGATGAGTTTCTTATGTTGGTCACGACGAAATGCAATAGGGTACGGTTACATAGATAGTCTGCGTTGACTAGATCAACGCAAGAGTCAGTCTAATGAAAGAATTGTTTTATCATTACCATGCTACTAAGCTCCATGTGCCCTAACATATCCTGTAGCTTTTGCTATAGAGAACCCGTATATAAGAAAATATACCTTAAATCAGACTGGCCCTGATATAATATCACCTCATGCTCATCGTACAGACTGACACCAACTTTAAGAAACAATGACAAGGGACGAAGAGAAGACACTCCATGATCACATTTGCTTACAGTCCACTGTCGATCTGTGCCGGGATATTCGAAAGTGTCCAGTGTCCCCACTGCCGACACGTCTCAGCCACCACGTTTGGTATACGTAGTTTCTTGACTTGATCTGGATTCGTGAGAAACTGCGTGAGAAATCCTGCCGAGACGTGCCACGCGATGTGACAGTGAAACGGCCATACACCTAGAGCAAATGTGTGTCAGCACGATGCAACCGTGACCACAGAAAGGGGCGATTATCATAAGGCTGAGTGAGTCAGGGGGGTTAACGTACCCGGGTTTTCTCCGGCATCGAACTGTATTACGAGATGACCATTGCCCCGAATCTGAACGACGTCGCGACGCTGTGGGTTGTGTCTGTTTATGATTGCTCCATCCCAGGAACCTGGCCCCTCATGTAGGACATACATGTTGAAGCCGTGTAAGTGCATTGGATGTCTAAGCAGAATTTGCTGTCAGCAATTGCATGAAGCCGCATGATTTTGTTGAGTACTCACGCCACGGGAGTCTTGTTATTAACAACCACTCTCACACTCTTTGCCTTTCCTGTATTTATCACGTTCCATTCAGGTTCGAATGTGTGATTGCCAAGTTTGCTAAGGAGCAGAGTTGGACTGTTGTAGTTTGTCCTTGCAGCCACTCCTCCTAAAGTCCAGAGCGTGACATTGCTTGCGTTTTTGAATGAGCTAATATCAAGCTCAATAATCTTGTCAGCTGGAGGCAAAGGCAGCTTCATCACAGGCTTTGTTATACTCAAATCATCGTTGGCGCAAGTCCCCGGATCGGGGATGTCCCAAGCCTGTGATTTGGGTGCCTTTTTCTGATTTGCGTTGTCGTAGTAGATTGCCGCAAGAGCAGCTGGAGCACGGCCCAGACTACAGATGGCAGAAATGTTGCTGCGCATCCAGTATGAGTCCAATTTGCCATCAGCTTTGACCAGTACATCTGTGCGTTGGCCAACTCCAAGAGTGACAACTTTGGTATCATATGGCTGTACTGGAACAAAGTCATTCGCAATGACCTTCATTGTGTGACCATCGATAGAGAATCGTTGTATGGCTTCGGCACTTGGGTTGATGAGGCGTAAGCGGTGAACTCTACCGCGCTTGAAACGAAATTTGGAGATTCCAGCATTGCTTTTACAGGGCGTCTTGTCTCCTGGTGCAACACTGGAGCAGTTGAAGTTCATCTTGCCGTTAATGAGATTGCTGTCAGAAAGAACAACTCCAATGCCACCGGGTTTCATTATCTCCTCAACAAGGTCGAAATACTCTTTGTGGTACCAATCACTCAACATGACGGGCCCAATATCGATGTCGTAGTCCTTCCTTTCTCGTGGTCCATATATAACCAATGGACCAAACAAGCCAGCAGCAACTTGGGCAGAATAATGAGAGTGGTACCAGCTTGTTCCATACAGGTCGGCCAGAAACTGATATGTGAAACTCTTTTTCGGTGGGATCGGGCATTGGGTTACACCCGGAACGCCATCTTCCCACGGCATTCCTTTCTGAAGGATACCATGCCAATGCAAAGAAACACCCTCATCGTCCATGTCGTTGTGAACAGTGACTTGAATGGTGTCACCCCAGTTTGCTTCAATCAGAGGTGCAGGGAACTGCCCATTCACGAGAATTGTGGACAGCTCATAGCCATCGGGAGCGATCTTCCCCCGACTGACAGTGAAGTCGTACCTCCTAATGACTCCAGTGTTTGGTTGATCCTGATAGTAATTGGTTTGAGAATTCATGGTACTCCAAGGATAGCCATTGGGAGTAGGATTGTCAGTGAGGAAAGTTGGCAGGTTAGGTGCATCAAACGTGCCATACGAGGACTCCCTATTAATAGATTAGTTCATGTATACAGATGTTGGATATCATACTGCTTTACCCATTAGTCTGCAACTGGGACAATTGTCCCAGGTCCCCGAGATTGAATGGACTGCTGTTGGTATTACCCATACTGCACAACAGGCTTGAACAGCGAGGAGTCTCTATTGAGGTAGGATTATGAGATATGCCATCTTCTCACAGGAACCAGCACTGGTCTATATAGCCAAGAGGGGCGTGTTGGTGAGCTCAGTCCATCGACAGCCACTGCAGAAGGAACTTCTATCCTAGGACAAGGCATGTGCCGAAGACCCGCGGGATCAAACCTCATCTGCGAGAAACGGGCGATCGCATACGGGTCAACCTTGGCTACTCTCGGTTATCATGGACTAAGCCTGCATGGCTGAATCCCATATCCATGAGAGGTCTTGTAGCCATGGTGAGGACCAAAGTTTGGTGAGAGAGGACCACATGGCGAGGCCTTACATGGACCAGGACAAGCTGCAAGCCATGATGACGGTCAGCACACCAAAATGTGCAATTCGTAAAAGTAAATTGCCCTATCAGAGAGGAGACGTTAAGCTTCACCAGGTCATGATGTGAGCATGTTGTGGTAGGGATATTGGGTGTGCCTGGTGTGGCGGAATTACCGCTGTCTTAGTTGCCTCAGCCTTAGACAAAGGATGCGGAAAATAGACACGAGATCTCCACTGGGTCGTGCATCTCGAACATCCGTATCTCGACTTGCCGTGTTATGGTTAAGCATTTTTGATGATTTGCAACTGGGGTATACCCAGATCGTAGCCCGTCCCGCCCAATACATGCAATGATCCTAGACAGCTGAACGGGCGTTTCAGGCAGACCTTTTTTTCTGAGTAGTCAGGTACGTAAAAGAAACGCAGTGGGCCCAATTGAGTTTAAGCAGTAATTCGAGCAGAAATACGAACAGATTGCCCGCAAAAGTTGCTGATATTGGCGTTGGTACCAAGCGTGATAAGCTAGTGCCAGCTCACGAGGCAAGCGTCAGAAAATACAGTTCAGACATTGGTTGATGCCCTGAAGGCAACCGCCTCTCCAGCTATTTCTGACTGTAGAAGGACAAGCATCGATCGAGTAGATTTAACCTTGTCCTGAGTTTGGGGGATCACCCTCAGTCATAATTGGTGACTGCGTGGTGCAGCCCAACAGCAAGCTTCCAACAATTCAAAAGCGTGTAAGCCGGGGGGTTCCTCATTTGGTAACTGGTACTATAAAAGCGCCAATTGCGATCGACCGATCAATAATTTCGTAATGTCGAGAGATAGTAATCCGACGGCAAAGAGCCTAGCAAAGTCAGCATGTCAGCTTCAAAGGCATGTGATCATGCTTTTCAAATGGACTGCATAACGACGATTCAACTCGATGAAACAACATAATCACTGACACGCCCCAAGAAATATTCCGTCAATGCACGATGTTGTTCAATATGCATAAGTTATGAGACTTAAAGTTCGCTCTCAGCTATCCTCTAGAAAGCAATTCCCTCAGACCACTGGACCGATCGCCAATAGCGAAGAAGCATGGCGCCAGTTGTGCAAAAGCAGGGTTGACTCCCTACTGCATATGCAAAAAAGAGGATGCGATAACAAGCTATTGAACGCCATTGACTACATCGCATGAGCCAAAGCGGTTAGCTTATGGAAAGTTTAAGCGTCAAGAACTTCCAGCTGCTCGACAACATCGAGGGTGGTTGTTGTTGTCACCTCGTATCGGCAACCGTGGGGTAGGCCAACATGTTGGGTCGCATAAGGGTAGTGGTGTGTCGATCATGTCAATAAGGAAATGTAACCTGGACGGTTAAGGGCTTATATTGAACGCCACAGCTCTCTCGCCGCCTCTCGAAGATTGTTGTGTAATCTTTAACTGCAGTCACATATAATGGGGTCACTTGAACCCGGATAACGCAGCGGTCTGCAAGGTCTGACAGCATAACAAAAAACCCTCGCATCGTGAGACCAACAGACATCTCTGACTGGTCTGATGCACTGTATCGATGGTGGGTCTGAGATTTGACAATAGATTGGTCCATTTCGAAATAATTTTGATATGTATTTTACAGATTGCGGCCATCAGATGCCAGACTGTACAGGGTGGAAGTCGAAGTCGACTGGGTATTGCTCTCGTCTCGTATGATATGCTGCTCTCATGATTTCCTCCACGCGGGATTGGCCATCAGCATTATAGGCCGACGTTGAGCTCGCATGTACATTTCGTGAAGTTTGGGGTCGGCATCGGATCGAATGACGCTGCCAATGGACATAAAGAAGCTGTAGGGTCGTGGTTAGCACTCGTGTAAGTCGTTGGGGCCCGTGTCAGAATTACCCAAAAGTTGCTCCGGAGCCAAGCATGTATTGACCGAGGGTTCTCATAATGCCGTTAGGGCCGGCTCCGTATCGGAAGATGTTGACAGTTCCTAATGATCATTAGTTATGATCTCAGAAGTTAGGCAGCGCACCCAGATGCGAACGAACCAAAGACAAAACCCATGATGACACCAACAGCTATACCATGTCAGAATCTTTCACGACGGCCAAGAGCTTAAAAAGGGTAGTTCGTACTTCCACCCATCATAGCACCCATCTTGACTATCAAATTTGTTAGCCAACACCCAATTCCATGAGAATGATATCAGCCTACGTTTATCCACGTTGGAGGGGCCATGCTGGCCGGCATTGATAGGAGCAACGGGAGGCATCGCGGCGTGCTAGGTTTGTATGCAAAGTTTGGGTGTTGCTGCGTGTATTGGACTATCGATCGTGGTCGGTGATGCTGTTGAAATGGCACGGCGCAAAGTAAAGCAATTGCTGATGAAGCTCTCTTCATACGACGACTTCCCTCGAACCCGAATGACCTCTTGAGGCTTACTTTCATTGGCTTAACGGCTAAAGTGGATTCAGGGTTCGGAGAAAGGTCGGTGCGTGGCTTGAGGCACGGATCATCCTCCCGTACAGTGCAGGACAGAAAAGTGACATATCTTTACTGTGAAGAAATCGTCACGTGGTCCCTCTCGTGGGTCAAGATATGGCTCCACAAGGCGGTTCCGACTCGTAAGAGGGATATGATCGTTTATGGTTTTTTTTTTTCAGGCAATTCTCTTGCACTTACAAGACAATCTCTGACACTCAAACCTCTGTTTCTTATGGTGCTGGGGTTATGCGAGCAGTGAGCACATGCCAGAGTCTTTGGGCGTGTGCTCCACTGTGCTCTGTACTCCGTGTGCCTGAGCTGAAAGTTGTCGACCGGGGGCTCCAAATTTGAACACGCCAACACGCCAAGCAGCGCTTAGCGAGACCTCCCCCATACTGTCACTGTTACGGCTCCCTCTCATCAACTCATTCACGGCCCTGAAGCCTTCTAAACTATCGTCTCTTGTGACGCGAAACCCTATTCCGACATCGCGATATCCTCGTGCTTGGTGAGTGAAGCACCCTCTTGGCTGTCGCTGGCCCGACTCGCCTCTTGACCTCCTGTCCCTGGTCCGACGGGGTCATCGCCGATCGCCTCAATTCTTCATTACCAAAACCTGTTCCCAGCCACGAGCTCATGATTTTTCTTGTCCACCAGCAACGTCAAGCCACCTTCAAGTATTCAAAATTCAATCGCATTTCATCAAAACTACAACGTTTTTCTTCGAGCCGGCCATCATAAATCCCTTCCGCCTCCAAGTTGCCGGTGGAGTGACATCAGCCTCGTAGGCGCGCGAGCCGCACACGTCTTACTTCCATATCCGGCATCTTTATATCAACAACGCTGCGTTTATCGGCCGCAACACGCTGAGCATCAATCATCCTCATGACTGCAGTCGCAAATCCACCAAACTTCTCCACGTCAAGACCAGCATGGGGCACGATTAACGGGAACCATCAAATGAATTCGGAAGAAGGTCGAGGTGGCATTGGCATGTTCGCGCCCCGGAAGACCCTTACTCGATCCAACTCATCGTCGTCTGTTTCCTCGACGTCTTCAAACGCTTCTGCTACAACAGTTGCCTCGAACGGTTCCCACGCCAATGGCGGCACTCCATTGTCTTCAACTTCAGATTTGACCCAATGGTCGGCTAACGGCGCACCTCGAAAACGGCCCCAACCGAAAGCCCCCTGGCCTCCAGGAAAAGGGGAATTTCAACAACAAGACATGTCTAGGCTGCCCGCTGGCAGAGGTCAAGGCATGATTACGGCCCATGGGCCTGTACAGGCCGGCCCTGGCCAGGTTCAGATGACGTCTCAAGGAATGATGCGCCCTATGAGTGCTGAACAAGTTCCTCCTGGCCAACCAGTTCTATATCTATTATCACTCAACGGTACCTTTGAACGAAAAACAATCGCTGTTCCTTTTGCTCCCGAAAGCCTCCGTATCGGCCGACAAACGAACCAAAAGACTGTCCCGACCCCAACCAACGGTTTCTTCGACAGTAAAGTGCTGTCCAGACAACACGCTGAAATTTATGCGGAACGCAATGGCAAAATTTATATACGAGATGTCAAATCCTCGAATGGAACGTTTGTCAACGGTACTCGACTATCACAAGAGAATCGTGAATCCGAGCCACATGAATTGCAGACTTCCGATCATCTTGAGCTTGGCATCGACATCGTCAGCGAGGACCAGAAAACAGTCGTTCACCACAAAGTGGCTGCCAAGGTTGAGCATGCTGGCTTTCTCAGCGCGTCGAGCAATGTCATGGATATGAACTTTGGCGATCTCGACCCAGCTAACGGCGCTATGATGATGCCTTCAGGACCAATGCAGTTGCGTGGCCGTACAAACAGTAATGCGTCTGTCGCCAGCAACGGTCGCATGATGCCCAATGGCGCTGGTGTCATGAACATGCAAGCCAATGGAATGCCACAACAAAGACCTTTCTTTCTTACCCCTGTTGCTACTGATCAAATATTAAAACGGCTTGCGGTATGTCATAGTCGAATCCGTTACAATGATTAGGCTAATTCTGTTAGAACGAAATGCGCAATGCTCGACTTCAAGCACAGGATCTGGGCCGCACTAATCAGTTCGTCCACACACTATTATCCAAAGACGACCTTAAGGACCTCGAAAAACCCGAAGGCCTTGAACCCCCTAAACCTCAACCTATGGTAAATGGGATGGGGACGCCATTCCGTGCTGACCCCAAGGCACGGTTTTCTGATCCTCCTGCTCCCCCTCCCCAACAGCCTCTTCCCGAGAAGCCTGATGTACCTTCACTCAAGCGTGGCCCAACTGAGCGACCGAAGTCTGGTCCTCCCAACTCACCTGCCCGTCCTGATAATCTCAGTCAGATTGTTCAACTTACCGAGGCTCTCAACAACGCTAAGCGAGATATCGACTCACAAACGGCACGGATGCGTGAATTGGAAGAAATGCTGCAGAAGGAGAGGAGTGCACGAGAGGAAGCAGAAGAGCTCGCCAAGCGCTTGGAAGAGTCCGCGACCGTACATATGAACGGGTCGGCTGTACCTGGAAGCGTAGCCTCAGAAGAGGTGTCTGAAGCCACGGAAGACAAGTCTGTCCCTGAGGTTCCCGAACCAGAGGCTAATGACGAGACCCCTGCTGTCGATGCTGCACAGGAGACAGCCGCTGCTCTTCAAAGTCGAATTGACATGATGGAGAGTCAGATGCAGGATATGAAGGAGCAGATGAAAGAGTGGAAGGTGCGATGTGAGACTGTAGAGTCAGAGAGAGATGCTGATAGGAAGACGCTCGCCGAGATGGTTGTTCAGCTCCGCGCTGAGGAAGCACTTCGAGAAGCAGCAGAGAAGAGAGCTCGATCAAGGTCGAGGAAGCGAGATGCTGTTGCCGATGGTGCTGTCGTTGGCGAGGCCAATGCCGACTCTGGGGTTTCTAAAAGCGCCACTGGAGAAGCAGAGGCCGTCGACCCCGCTACTGCTGACGAAGCGTTGGACGCACCGACGTTATCCCGGGCCAGTACGATCACACCAGCAACCCAAAAGGGTGCTGTGCGTGGACAGGACCAACGCCTTCAAGCCGCGCTACCTTATGCCTCAATGATTGGCGTTGTACTATTTGGCATGGGGTTGATGGCATATATCAATGGATGGCAGGCCGAGCCTCCCCGCCCTGAGCAATGAAATGTTGGTGTACAAAGCGGACGAACTACATGAGGAGAAAGCTGGGGGTTAAATGATGGGGCAGTTGTAAAAAGGGGATCACGACATTATTATATCTTCTTCGTCTTTGGGAGGGATTGTAACTTTTCATGAGCGGTATTCATAATGCATGATGCGGCCTATCGACTAAGCCCATCAACGATGAGACGATACGAGACCAGACATGGACATAACCGAACCGAAACAATTTTCCTTTGTCACCCATCCGTATTATATATATCAACTTCTTTTGTACCAACGGCTGGGACATAACAACATGGCATATGAGGCCCTTTGGAAAGGGTAAAAGCCTGGTTTGAGTTCAGGCTCGAGGATACGGCGTTATCATTTTGTTCCTTTTGTGTAATTTTTTTTTTCTGATGCAATATCTTTGATACATTGGGGGTGCATCTTTAGGAATAGCGTATGTTGATGCGAGCAGTGGGCTGCTGACACTATAAGTCATTTTGCATATTTAATTTACTTGCCTGAATAACTGGTCTAATAAGTCTCATGAGTTCTAGAACATGTGTTTGAGGGGCTTAAGATGTTTGCGTCATAGGAATGAGGGCGCATATTGGCTACTGATCCAGGACTGGTTCATCTGTTGCTCAGCATAACTTAGACCAACACAGAGTCAAACACGTCATAATACATTGTGAAGTGCTTCCTTCATCATCAGTGATAAGTCGTTAACTCCAGACTTCGCACTCGGTTTCATCCTTCTGAGATACTCCACTGCATTCCCGGCGCTAACCAGTTTTCGTATTCAGGTCGTGATACTATTGGATGTAGTAAGTATACTTGAAGCTGGCGAGAACGATATCAAAGTCCATGAAAGAAGGGATCAAAAGCAATATAAAAGAGCCAGTCATTTCCAGTCAATATCAATACTTGGAGTCATCTCTTCTATAAACTTATCAGCAATGGTTTCCCTCTCCCAAGTCCAACAATCCAATGCCTCAGCTGCTTCAAAGCTCCCAGCTGGCCTCATCGCCGTCTTTGCTGGTGCGACAGCAGGTATTGGGGAGACAGCTCTCAAAGAATTTGCCAAATATACTACACAACCCAGGATTTACTACATTGGCCGTTCTCAAGAAGCGGGTGATAGACTGCAGAATGAGTTGAAGGAGTTGAATCCCGAAGGAGAATATGTCTTCATCAAGAAGGATATGAGCTTGCTGAAGAATGTAGATGAGGCTTGTCGGGATATCAAGAGCAAGGAGACAGTCTTGAATGTTCTGTTCTTGAGTCAGGGGACTCTAAGAATTGGTGTTGGCAAGTCTTCTATAAAGTCAACTGACTATTACTTTGCGCATACTAATACCCTTAGATACCGATGAAGGACTACCTCTGGTCACCGGCCTGACTATCTACTCTCGCAACCGTCTCGTAGTCAACCTCCTCCCACTGCTAAAGAAAGCCCCATCTCTTCGTCGTGTAATAAGCGTCATGGCTGGTACACACGAGGGCAAGCTCTTCTCTGACGATATAGCAGCTCGCAACATTCCCTTCACCAGCATCCACAATTCCCGGGGGCACATGTGTTCAGCCCTAACTCTCTCCCTGGAAGCTCTGGCTCGTCAAGCACCAGAAGTTTCCTTCATTCACAACTTCCCTGGCTCTGTCGATACAAACTTGATCCGCAGTGGAGATGGTTTCATGATGCAGGCTATGAAGTATTGGTTCAAGGTCAGCATGACTATTAGGAGACAGTGGTTACCTAAGGAGGAGTGTGGAGAGAGACACGCGTGGTTGTGTTTGACTGGGAGATATCCCGATAAACAGGGTAGTGAGAACGGTATCAAAGAGGAAGAAGTTGCGGTTGGTACTGATGGGAATAAGGGAAGTGGTGTTTATAGTGTTAATTGGGATGGTGAGAGTGCTTCGGGTGAGGTTGTCAAGCTGCTTGATGGTTTCAAAAAGGAAGGCCTTGTGGAAAAGGTCTGGAAAGATCAGGAGAAAGAGTTTGTCAGAATTACTGGTACAACTTCTATCTAGGTTATCAAAAGAGCTAGTCAGTTGTGGTTGGTATCAGGGTCCTATTGAGTTGACGAGTTCAACATTCTCTTTACAACCATGTGATTTTGACAATGGATTTCGGCAGTGCTCAAGATGACAATGCAGGATTCACCAATGAATAGCTTCCAATGACCTCCCAAGAATTAACCTTACCTGACAAGGATTACTATGCCGCCATCACCATTTAAGCTTTGACATCAATGCACAGGCCCAACACTTCGGCTTCATCGGGAGTCAAAGTCATGGACACCAAACAAGACCCCATTCCAAATGCCACTCTTTCGGAGTCATCTAGTCCCCGAGATCAATTGTGTTGAATCTATACTATTTGCTGGCTCAGACAACGGATGATGCTGAGACTGGGGGGGGCTGTGCTGATGTGACAGTAGCATGATGGTGGTTATGGTGACAGACACGCGTCGCTCTAGTGGTGGCTGATGCGCAACTTGAAATGATATGATAACAGATTTTCTTTCATATGTTTTTTTGCTACCAATAGATATGTATGTACAGATATGGAATGAGACATCGGTCGTAGCTACACTTCATTCTGATCGTTATCGTTAGTGCTGCTCTCACTCCCAAACGCCCAAGGCCTATTTTATATGCCATCATGCTCGCTATTAAATCACCACCACCAACTCTCACACTCCACTATGATGCCGTCTCGATAGATGATCCCTTTCTCTTAATCTCCTTTTCAGGATCAACCCCAAGTTCCCATTCTTCTCTCTCCCGCTTCATGTCTCTCTTACACCACTTGATTGTGATAATACCCCAGACAACAGCCCACAAGAATGGAACTGCCCATGCAACACCATACGCGGCGGTTGCCGGAACTTGTGGGATAACGGATATGACGGTAAGGGGGACGGCGAGTACTAGCGCCGGGATGGACCAGAACCAGGATTGTTTGTAGACCATCTCTCGGAAACGTGGGCTAGCTTTGAATCGAGCTGCCAATGCTTCCCGATAAGGCCGGCCACCAAGGGCGTTAACCGCGATAACATCCTCGATGAAGTAGTAAGCACCTGGCAAGACCTGCATAGAATTAGCACATGATAGCTGCTAGTTTGTTATTTTTCAACGTACCCTTTCTCCCTTTGCAGTTGAGCTGATGCGGAAAGGAGCTGGCCAGTCCATCTGGTGGTAAAGCGTAATAAGGAACAGAACACCACCATAACAGTAAAGAATGGCTGGAGCAGGCATGCATAGGACTCTCAACCAAACATTATGAGGTGCGCTGCCAATGATGAACAAAGCAGTAACCACAAAAATAGTAAGGGTGGAAGAGTACGTCAGCATATCAAAGCACCACCGGTGATTCGTTCCTAGCGGTCGGTAGAACCTATCCACCTTGATCAATCGGAGCGTACGGATGGCGAATTCCAAGTACGTGGGACCACCCCAGATTGTAGTAACTACCGCGAAGATGATCCATCCTTCAACGTCCCCTGCGTATTTGAGTCCGTAGTATAGAGCTATCGGAACCGCGGATGCGTCGACAAAGACCAGGAATGCGAACATGAAGAGTCGCCAGCGCTTCCAGCCATGATGCCATGTAAACGGGAGCTGCGGTAGTAGATGGGGGTTTTCGTCGTAGTACTCTAATAATGTTGTAGCTCGTCGTCGGTATTCTTTTTGAGTAGCGGCTCGAGAATCGTAGTATGCGTCTGCTTGGGGTCGTTGAGCATAGGACAAACTTCTTCGAGGCGCATCTGAACTCCTTCTAGGAGCGTCCGAGTTCCGTCGAGCACCTTCAGATGTTCGTCGAGGTAATTCTGCAAACGCTGAATCGAGGGGCTCTCGCGGTGAGGTTGGTGAAGTTGCTTCCTCAGGAAGGTCGAATCGCACACGATCAGTCGAAGATTGATGAGACTGCGAGGGACGAGAAATCACGGGAGCTTCAGGGACATCTGTCGACGAGAGAGCCGAGTCGGACACTGGCGCAAGGCTGCCCCTACGCACCTCAGGCATTGTTGTATAGTGATGTGATGCGATGTGTTGCCGTGGTGTTGACGATGATGGCAGTGATGAGAAGAGGAAGAGGAAATGGCCAAGTCGAGAATGAGGTGAGGTACACTGGAGATTAAGCAAAGCTAAACCAGACGGGATAGTCCGAAGGAGAAAATGGGAAAATGTGTGGAGGATCGATCATAAGGAGAAAAGGGTCCATTTCAGTGGCAAAGTTTAGTTTTTAAGCTAATCGTGTTGTGTCGTGTTGATATGATACTTGTTTAAGGTAGCATGATCCTGATGAGACGGACGGGGGCCCCATCGATAAAGGGTCTGACGTGCGGATGCAACGGTACAGCAGCTAACAACTAAAGAATCAGCTATCCAAACCCATTGTTATCGTCCACTAGGGGCCATGTAATGCGGTGTAACCGCTAATAATTACAGCGGTTTACAGCTGTGTGATTTGCGAATGACGTCCTTAAGCCGTCGAACTTTTTTCCCCTGTGGCCAAGGAAACCAACCGCAGCCAAGAATTCTGTCAGTGTCCGCCAAGCGACGTCATTGTCGGGATGTATGTGGGGCCGCATCCGGCAATGAAGTCACCGATCATCCCGCTTACATATGATCATTCATGACCTGGACTCTTGTGCTCCAAATTTAGAGCCAAGAAGAGGGATTTATCTTGTGAGGCATGTAATGTAAGCTTAACAAATATGTTTAAGTTTATTCCCGTCTGCATGCATCTCGGAATCCATCACATAATCGGACCCTGAAAGTCTGGATGATAAAGCCTAAAGATGATAAAAGAACACTAATCTACTATAATTATATCCTAAAGTATGCCTAAACTTGACAAATGTTATACTAAGAATGTGATGAATTTAAGCTATCATAAGTCTATCTTGCACACAGTCGCTTCGACAAAAGAGAAGTAGGGTTACTATACAAGGAGGGTATATATCTCAAACATGATCCCCCATCGAGATCTGCTCACCCCCGGCCATTACATCAGACACTCGACTCATTCGATTCATTCTTGGAATGCGCCTTGTACTTTCCCGGCTTAACGTTGGATCCTCTACCCTGAGCAAAACAATTCTCCGTCTCAGGCCACTCATTCGGACGAAGATAATAAGGATCTCTCTTCTTCATCGACAACATTCCGATGAAGTCAAACGGATCTGCTGCGTACATTGCCCAGTGTCTCTTATGAATCCATCCAGGTCCCATGCGTTCTGTTTTGCCGTCAAAGTCGAGATATTGACGTTGGTCGTGAGGTAGATATCGTCCTGGGTGGATAATATTGAGCCAGTATGTATATAGAGCGACAGGAATGGCTTCCAGGACGTAAAAGGGCCATTCACGTTTCATAAGTGCGTGGCTGTTGTCTTCTCGGCTGGAAAGAATATCTCTGAGCTCAAAGGTCTCGACGGCGCGGAAGACACAGCGGATCAGGATGAGGATCGATGTGCCGTAAAGCATGATGAACAATGTTCGCACATTAGAGGGCAGCATATTAGCTTTGGAACATCGCCTGTGGAGAATTCCGACCATGGCAATAAAGCCAATCTCGATCGTCCCTTGGAGAATAACCGCGATGGCCATGAAGGTTGCACCAGCAGTCAGTCGATCCTCATCCTGTCGACCATTACCAGCTGCCATCCATGAAGCACCAATAGCAGTTAGAACCTCAACAAGAGAACCCAAGAAGACAAATATGTATACGATTCGGTTCGGATTGATGATGGAGTGCATTGGTAGGTAGTGCATCAGACGGCCAAGAGTGTTGTATTCAGCAGCTGAGTAGACCGGCGGGGCGAGGTAGATAAAGATGCTCGAGATCATGTATAAGGGAAGGCTGTCTGGTTTTCGTACCGAGATAGCTCTCACGACCCATCCGATGCAGAAGAATAGACCGGCGTAGAACATGAAGAAGGTAACTCGCCAGAACTTGTATCGACTGACTCAAATCAGTATCTGTGTCGATTCGTACATCCTAGACAAATGACTTACGTATTCTGGATATAATGCCCTATGAGCGATATTCCTATTATCACCGAAGCAATAATTGGGAGGATCTTGTTGGCATCGTAGCCATAGAGATTGTCTTTTGTTGGATTTGCCATGGTGTATTGGTGTGAAGTGCGGTATAAGTCAACAGTGTTTTGTCGACTTTGGCTTAAACATAGTTCACTTTCAAGGTGGACGACCTCGTCTTTATATAAGCTTATTCACAACATTGATGACCTTCGTCATTGTCTCTATCTCTTAATCTGCCCTGCATCTCCATCTGTGACAAGGCGCAGCCAAAGCCGTCGAGTGTAAGCTAGCAGCCCTACAGCGCTGGGTAGCGACAGATTGAGTTAGACTTGGCGATTGTGCCTGTCAAGGTGGATCCTTGGCAATTCGACATTCTCTGCTTATTGGTCTGGCTCTTGAAACTGAATGAATTGACCATCCACGGCTGAATCTCTGGTGTTTGCCTATTCGCTGATCTTTTACAATCTATAGCGGTAGGTAGGCACTGCTTCTGGCCTAGGTCTGGCTGTGTATGCTGTATTCGGGTAGACGTAGCGCTCTGGCGGAGGAGTTGAACATTGATGGTTTAAGCACAATCTCTCGGACGTCTCAAATCCATCATTTAGGGTCGTCTTTTTCGTGAAGAAGGATTAGTCCGGTTCTGGCGGCACATGTAGCCTCAGTCGTCTCTTACAATTGCGGCGTATTTCATGTAGCAGAGTATACTCTATTACCTAGACCTTCACTGTCTAAAAACCACTATTTGCAGGACTTGCCTACCCCGGACCAATAGGTAACCTCAGAACCAGGGCAAGACAACATCACAGCTATTCTATCTAGATCAATTGAAAGAAAGTTTAAAAATAAAAGGAGCAGTCTTTCTTCTTTCTCCTCTGCACCTTTTTCTTTTACTAAGCCTCCTAGTTTGTTAGGAGCTCAACAGTTAATACGCCTGGGGTCTAAATGATTCAAGGTTTCTCTTCAAATCACTTTCCACGCAGTGCACAGAAGCGGACTTCAAGAACGACAAACTGTTAATCGCTGTGGTTATACAGTGCAAAAAGACGAAGTATATAAATAAAAAGAAATCCTCAACAAGAGTTGAGAAGAACAAAAGGTAACTCCCCCGGGAAGGCTCGAACTTCCGATCTCCCGATTGTCTATGAATAACAGTCGGACGCTTTAGCCAACTAAGCCACAGGGGATAAGCTCGCTTTATGGTAGTGTCAAACTTATTGCCAACTAACAGCAGATAGTTTGCCTGATGTCGTCCACAAAACAAACAGTCTCTTTCGTCCGACTTTAACTTGAATCTGTGATACTATAAGGGAAACTACCAGGAATGCCTGGATAGTTTATTTTTTGTTTATAACAAACATAAAATTCGTGGAAGATGTTGATAGTATACGGTAGTTTCATTTGCCCTTGTGTCTCGCATCCATATTGTTAACATATTATTATATTACCAAGCCCAAGACACAATCATATGTCGTTGTCGTTCTCTATCTCCTCTATTACATTCTCTGCGTCTGAGATGGCAAGATATGGCCATGATCCAGTCGTCAACTCCAGCTGTGACATTCGGTTCTGTATCTTGTGTAGAAAGCCAGAGTCTCGACCCCCGACAGAGTGCAGCACATGCTGTAGGGAGTACAAGATTTCTCCTGCACCAACAAGCATACTACTTCCATGAGCCGAGAATGGCGTGCACGCAACGATATCGAGCATTGCATCTGCTAATCGGAATACTTTAAGTTCCTATAATATCAAAAGTCAATCTCAGTTTGAACTACGTCAATTTGTCACTTACTATGCCATATCCGTGGGTTGTGATGGCAGAATTTGTCACCATTGAAAAAAGTGAAAGCATCTTGTGGCCAATCTTGACTGGAAGGAAAAGAGAAAAGGCTTCGTCATCTGGGTAGCAGGACAGTGTAAAGTGGCGAGCGGTATACTCCCATAGAATAAGTCTGATCCATTGGCGGGTGACAAATAAGTCAACCCTTTGAGCTTCACGAGCAGCGTGATCGTGGGCGTCGAGGCACAGATCGGCTTGATATGATACTAGTTTTTGTCTCTCAAGGGGCTGCTGGTTTGATGAAATTGTTGTCAAGTTACTCTCAAGATATGCAAAGAGTCTTGTGAGTGAGATGAAAGCTTGCATTCGTTGTTCATCTGCCATGTCGTCTTGTGTGTCTGGAAAGACATCGATGACTTGGAGGACTGCTTGCAAGCCATGTTGCGCGGAATATGTTCTGAGACAAAACGTCAGCAAACTTCACAGAAAGGTTCAAAGTCTGCTGTACCTCTCAGTGATAAGCACAAGCCAGTATATGCGAAGTCGAAGTGACTGCTCCTGCTTGGTAAGATGGCAATATGTCTCAGGATAACCAAGCTGCATGAGCTGTACTTGTGTCACAGCTTCTCTTAGAAACAGGCCAGCAGTTCGTAACTTATTGCCGTTGGAGTGGTAAACATGTAGAAAGAAGGGTATAAGTGCAGAAGCCAGATTGTAGCTCTCTCGATAATCATAAAGTTCCCTTAGTTGAAGACACTCGGTAGCAAACTGAAGAGATGAAGGGGTGTTTCGTGGGCCAGCATGTTCTGGTAGTCGTAGTTGAGCTATCGTGGCAGCACATAGTGCGGCTGCCAGGGCATGAGACTCGTAGTCGTTAGGATTGTCTGAAATTTTGGTAAATAGGTGGCTGGGGTTGATGACCATCCAAATGGAAGATACTGGTCGTTTTGAGATTTCGAGGAAATGTTGATATTCGTGGAGTGGTAAGCGATAAGGCGGGAGAGGTAAAGAGCTGGAAGGGTCGGACTGAGACTGATCAATATCCTGAGTGGTACAAGGTTGAGTTTCTTTGATGCTCTGTTGAAATCTCTCGACTTTCTCTTTGGTTGTACTTCGAGGTCCGCCCTTTGGCCCACGCTTCTTCCGGGTTCTCAAGGCGGTGCATTCGATGCCTCTGAGACGACATTCGTGACATGGTTTTCCTTCTTCACATTTTACACGACGTAAAGCGCAACCGTCACATGGGTTTGCGTTTCTGAGTCTTGTTGTCATTGTGATTGAGTTGATGAGTCAAGCCCAATTGAATTGAGTTGAGGTCGGAAAGTGACCATGTCTTGAGTTGAGTTGCCCCGCTCGCCACCGGAGTCTACTATTTGCTGAGATGCACCTCTCACATTATACTGCAGAACATGACTACAACAGCCTGAATTGAACACAAGTAAGCAGACTCAAAGGAATTACCATTGGCAGTTTACCTTGTATGAGAGCGATGCTTCATGCTTCATGAGGAGTCGTTGTTACGGCCTAGTTATACTGAAGGACTCGTTTATCAGCTAACCTGGACCCATTTAGTCCCAGTCTAAGATGATAACGTTATCTAGTTGATATAAACCACCAGCTCTGTTTCATCCGTGAAATATTGTGCTATTAGTGACTACCAATGCTCAATTAGTCTAACTAAGTACGTATAAGAATGACATTGAATTGCGATTGGGTTTGGATAACCTCAAGCAGAGTAAGTAAATGAACTCCGAGATAGTTGATCTAATTTGATTACCTATAGTCCGTTTACAGTAGAACAACATTCTATAGTTCTGAGAGCATCGACTACATCCATCAACTGACAATTCTCGCCTCTCTTGACCTGATCCAAGCCCATCCACCAGCACATACGACCATAGCTCGCAGAAAATACGGGATCCCGTTCGCTCTCCCATCGTCAAGCTGCGAAGCGCCGGATTAGTAGTTGGGTCGGTGACGACCAGCGAATACCTGGTGTTGTATGTTCTTTTTGTCTTTTTGAGCCTCTATGCTGGTTGTATTTTGCTCAAGCAAGGCGTGGGTTGGCCAAGGCATTGGACGTTGACAACCTTGCCTCAAGGTCGATGGACCACAGGGCAATCAGTTGGAGGGTGTTTCGTATCGGCTGTCAGCCATGAGCAACTCCATTACCGGTCCAAGCAACTCCTCGTCCAGTCCCAAAGTCATCAATCGTCCAACCTTGACTGCCGTGGGCTGGGGAGCCTTGACAACTCCCCAAAGCTTTTCCTTGGTCCACATGTCCATCTGATAGTCGAGGATCAGATCCTGGATACGTTTCAATGGATCAATCACGCTCAGTTTCGGCTCGTCGCCCAGCTGAATAGACACCGTATCCAACTTATCGTGAAGTACGGGGATTCGGACGACCAGGCCAGGCACGTTAGGATAGTCCTCAACATATGGCTTGATGTCAAGAACAGTCTGATCAGTGACACCGCTGACGACCTTAAACCCCTTTGGAATCTCCATGATAGACAGGAATTTGACACTCCAAGCCTTGCCCTTGGGCTCAAAGTATAGCCTGCCGCTTTGTTGGAAATAGCCAAGAATTGGAGACTCGCTGTAGTTTCCTTTATCGGTCTTGTCGTTTCCATCGAGTTCCTCCTCGACCTTGAGCCTGCCATTCTTGCCCACAACAACGAGAACCTCAAAGTTCTTGGGGCTCTCGCCACCATTGTTAGGGGCAAGGTCTGCATCGAGAGGAATGATGGAGCCCTCATGTGCAAGAACTGGCATGTTCTTGATGCTTCTGAACATCTTGATGTCCCGGTCGCCGTCATATATAGTTCCAGTGAAGATGTCAACATGTCGACCAGGAGGTACCCAGACATCAACGGCTCCATGATTCGTTCTCTTGTCGCGGGGCTTCACGATAGGTGCAACCACTAGCTCTGAACCGAAGTAGTACTGGTTAGGCTTTCCATATGCTTCATCTCTTTCCGGGAACTTCCAGTACAGAGGCTGCACAACTGGCTCATCATTCGACGAAGAAGCGCAGTTCATAGTGTAAAGATACGGGATAAGTCGGTGACGGAACCGCAAGAAATTCTGCATCACCTCTGCAAACTCAGGGCGATACAGCCAGGGTTCCTTGGAAGTGAACAAGCCCATCTGCGAGTGAAGCCGCATGATAGGCGAGAAAATGCCATATTGCACCCATCGAGTAGCAAGCTCATCGTCCCGATAACCACCCATGTGGCCACCGATGTCGTGGCTCCACCATCCATAGCCAATGTTGGACGCTGTAGCTGTGAACTCGGGTTGAAACTCGAGCGACTCCCATGTCATGATGCTGTCGCCCGAGAACCCGACTGGATAGCGATGACTACCTGGACCTCCGAAACGTGAGAAGATAATAGCCCTACCTTCCCCATTCTGCTTCTCATTGTCGAGGAAATGGTAGTGGTTGAGAAGCCATAGAGGATCGAGACCTCGGACACGACTGTATGGACCTTGCTGCCAATCAATCCACCAGAAATCACAGCCATCGTTCTCGAGACTTCGATGAAGTGTGTTGAGGTAAGAGTGCATGAACTTCTGATCGACAGGGTTGAAGAGAATTGGTGTTTTCTCAGAAGTATCGTGTCCCAAATCCTTGGCCATTGCCTCATACTGATCCTCATGGTGATGCACACCAGCATGTGGATGATCATTCAAGGTAACCTTTAGTTTCTTGTCGTGCAACGCTTTGGTGAACGCCTTGGGATCTTTGAAGAGCTCCTTGTTCCACGTGTAACCTGTCCAGCCAGCATGCGGGATGTGATGGCCGTGGACTTGGTGCCAGTCCATATCAATAACAGCGACTGAGAGCGGAACCTTCTCGGCCTCGAACTTGTTCATGAGCTTGAGATACTCCTCATCGGTATAAGGATAGTAGCGACTCCACCAATTTCCCAATGCCCATCGCGGAAGGCGAGGTTGCTTTCCAGAAATAGCAAAGAATGCCTTCATGGCAGCCTTGTAATCGTAGCCATACGAGAAAAGATACCCATCGATTCGATCTCCAGGTCGTCTTGGTGCTGCGAATCCAGAAGAGTCGAAAAGCAAAGAATTGCTATCATCAAGCACCGAATATCCCGCTCTCGAAAGAATACCAGGCTCGAGTTCGCATCGTCCATTCACCTCATCAAGCGTCCTGGCTGTACCACCGAGATTCTGAGGCGTTTCTCCATATCGCCAACCAGCGCCCCAGAGGGTGTTCTTGTTACTGAAGCTGACTACAAGACCGTATTTATCGAAGCGCTTTTTGTTGTATGTGATTTGGAAAGCATCTGCTCTTATCTCCAGCTGATCATCTGTATCAGAGACTGTGAATTTTGGAGTAGGGAATTCTCGATTGAGGGCAAAGGTGGATGGACGATCTTCGAAGACGCCATCTTCGGCCCATTCATAGCGGAGAACAATGTCGTTGATGAGGGTGAAGCGCCATTGATTGCCTGCCACGATTGAGTCTTTGTTGGCTACAGGTTTGGTAGGAATAGCGTATCCTTCCATTTTGAAGTGGTTGAAGTTGCTTCAAGTGAAGTTGAAGGGGTGAGGAAATGCGGGCAGGTCTGGGTGATTAATATGCGTTTCCCCAGGTATAGGCCGTCTAAGACGTACAACCACCAAAGTTGATAAATGTTGAGATTATGAGAGAATTGTTGTGAGGGGATGGTAGTCAATCAGCACATTTATCCTTACATAGCTCATCCAATACTCACACTCAGACCAACATCATTGTTTCTCAGTAAAATGTCGGAGTCTCCGCTCTTTGGGTGAATTATTCGGCATAATTGGCGATTGGTGAAGATGTTATGCAGCGTCAAAGCAAAATGGTTAGCGGTAGGTACTGCAGTTCACAGCGGTGACTTTCTTTGACTTTGACCACCTTGTCATTTTTGCCAAGCTACAGTCAGTACCACAAGATCATATTTGATGATAGCCACAGTCACAAAATGAAGCACAAATGCGTTGAAATAAACCAGGGTATCGTCAATCCTTGACACTGTCGTACATACGTATATGTATCTCGCACCGTCTCCTCTGTTACATGTTGACTCAAGGACGGTCTAAAACACCTCCATCTCCCTCCATCTCACATATCCTGTGACTCTTGCCCATAATGTTGTGTATGTAATAAAAGCAATAAGCAAAATTGCAGCTCTGCAGACAGGCCGCGGGTATTACAGAGAACTAAATTGTAAAGTGACGATAGAAGCGGAATCAGAAATTCATCGTTTGTCATGTCTCCTTTAACTGAATTGCGACTGCTTGAATTGCTGTTGCTCGTAGTGATGTTCACCACTCAGCTTTGGCGACTTGACATCCGTGATCGACTTCAATATCCTGGTGGATTGTCAGTCTCGTGGTCTAGACCCTAGAGTCCCCATTTACTTACAGCAAGTTGCGATCCCTCATTTCCCTATCGAGGGTATCCATTTGCTTGGCTGTGAGTCTCGCCTTACTTATCTACAACCAACATGTTAGCCCTGAACTGACCAAAAAAGACCGCATGGCACATTAGATCTCGTGCGGGTGCATCATGCAGGGGCTCTTCGCACCGAAGCAAGTGCTGCTGAGGAATGGTCGTCAATCTCCTCACCTTCCGCTGCATCTTCGTTCGCAGCAGCGTTGTCGCCGTCATCTGCGTTGGCAAATCTGCTGGCCGAGAGACCCTTGGGCTTGGCAACAGCAGCATTGGCCTATTCACATGTTAGTTAAAATAGCATTACAGGCTTCTGAATCAACGCATACCTTTGCCTCTGCAATCTCGGCGTCCTTGACCTTGAGCTGAGCTTCCAGCACCTCAATCTTCTTCTCGCTATCCTCTACCTTGGCCACAGTCTCGTCCAGCTTGGCTTGAAGGTCCTTGGCCTTGGTGGTGGCCTCCTCAACGAGAGAAGTCATGCTATCACTGAGGTCTTGATAATCAGCGCTGGCAGTTTTCTTGCTCGCGTCGGCCTCCGCCTTGAAAGCCTCGAGTTCCTTCTTGACCAGGGCAAGGTCCTCGGTCAGAGCTGCAACCTGGCTTTGGCTGGCTACTAGCTCGTTTCTTCGCTCCTCAAGGGTATTTTGTGTCCCCTTGAGCTCGAGATCAAGACTATGCATGACATCCTCGTGGAACTTCTTGGTTGTAGCAAGCTCTCGCTTGAGGGCTTCCGCCTCGGAAGTGTCAGGCTTGGTGTTCTTGGCCTCCTCGAGCTCAGCAAGAGCAGTGAATCGCTCGGTCTTCTCCTGAGCTAGCCGCTGAGAAAGGTCCTCAACTTCCTGTTGAGCCTTGGCAAGAGATTCTTGAGCAGCCTTCAGAGAAGCCTCAAGTTCAGCGTTGGAAGCAGCCTGTTGAGCAAGCTTGTCCTCCAGGTGACTGTTGTTGTTCCTGTGCTCAGCCATCATATCCTCGATAGCCTTAGTATGCGCCAAAGTCATCTCCTCCAGTTCCTTCTTGGCATCGCCGCCCTCCCTCTTCATGCGCTCAATGACCTCGCCGTTGAATTCGAGAAGCTTCTCAACCTCATCAGCATGGTTCTTCTCAAGCTCGTATCGAGCCATCTCAATAGCTTGCGAATTGGACTCGCGTGCCTTCTCGACCTCCTCCTTGGCGGTCTCGAGCTCAGCCTTGAGACTGGCCAATTCTTCAGCGTGCTTACTTTCGCCGGCCTTCTTGGTCTCCTCAAGTTCAACCCTCAAAGCCTCCAACTCAGCCTCCAATGACTTCTTGGCGGCATCTCTGGTAGCTTCAAGGTCAGCCTTGAGTTTGGCGATCTCAGCAGCATGGGCTTCATCGCCAGCGTTCTTGGCAGCTTCGATACCTGCTTGAGCCTTGGCCAAAGCCTCGGCATGTTCCTTGTCACTAGCATCCTTCTCAGCCTCAAGCTTGGCTTTCAGAGACTCAAGTTCAGTAGCATGAGCAGTCTCGCCAGACTCTCTAGCACTGTCAAGCTCCGACATGAGCCTAGCGATTTCAGTAGCATGAGTAGTTTCACTTGCATCCTTGACAGAGGCCAATTCGCTCTTGTGACCGGCAACGAGCTTCTCTTTCTCCTCGTTGTGCTCCTTCTTGAGAGCCTCTAGAACACTAGCATGGGCGGCCTTGATCGATTCGAGCTCCTCAGCATGGGTAGAGGCACCCTCGTTCTTGATCACTTCCAACTGCTTAGCATGGTTCTCCTTAAGAGAATCGAGCTCGGCAATGTGGGCATCGTGGTCACCCGATGCAGAGTTCTTTGCAGACTCGAGCTCCTCAGCATGGCTGGCACGGAGCGCATCGAGATTCTTCTGGTGCTCGGCTTCCTTCTCCTCCAAAGCAGCCACGGCAGCGGCATGTTCAGCCTTGGCGGCTTCAAGAGCCTTGCTGTGGCCTTCAGCGGCCTCTGAAGAGGAGGTCTGGAGCTCGTTGTGCTGGGTTTCGAGCTCCTCGTACTTGCGTTTGAAGAAGGCATCTCCTCGAAGAGACTCGATTTCGGTCTCGTAATCTTGAGAGATGCTTCTCATGCGCTCCTCGTGCATTTCCTTGACCTTGGCAATCTCGTCTTCCTTCTCGGCAAGAGACTTCTGAGCTTCCTCGGCGGCAGCCTTCAGGGATGCAGCCTCCTCTTGAGCCTTAGCAAGATCCTGCTTGGCAGCCTCTAGCTCAGTTTCCTTCTCGGACAAGCTGGACTGAAGCTTGGTAATCTCGCCATTGAGAGACTCAATCTCAGACTTGGCTGTCTCGGCATCCTTCTCAGCAGCCTCCAGTTTCACCTTAGCCTCCGCCGCATCAGCCTCAAGAGCAGAAATCTTAGAGCTGTGCTCCTCCTGCTCAGACTTGAGCTTGTCGTCGTTGGCGGATTCGAGGGCTGACTGCGAAGAGGTTAACTCATCGATCTTCTTTTGCAACTCAGCGGTCGCAGCCTCGTGAGAAGCCTTAAGCTCAGCCAAAGCAGTCTCGTGAGAGGAAGCATCAGTCTGGCCTTTCCCGATATCCTCTTTGTGCTTTGCTTCCAGGGCCTCGATGGCAGATGCCTTTTCAGCCTCAAGAGCAGCCTTCAGCTCCTCGATCTTGGATGCATTCTCCTCAATGGCCTTCTGGAGTGCCTCCTGACTAGAGTTGAGTTTCTCGTCATTCTCAGTCTGGGCAGCCTCGAGCTGCTTCTTCAACGAGTCGAGCTCAGTCTCACTCGCCTCCTTAGCGCTAACAGCAGCATCGAGGTCAGCTCGAAGCTTCTCAAGGTCGCTCTCTGCAGCCTGCAGCTTCTCATTCGCTTCAGAAACCTGGCTCTCAAGAGAAGCGATAGCAGACTCGTGCTCAGACTTGAGAGTGGCAATTGCCTCGTCATTATCCTCACGGGACTTCTCGTCGGTCTCGGCAGGGGTCGCCTCCTTGCCAATCTTCTCAGTGAGCTCAGCGATCTTCTCCTCTGAGCTCTTGACCTCAGCCTTGAGAGCTTCAATCTCGCTCTCGCCCTCTGCCAGCTTGGCCTTGAGCGCCTCGATTTCCTTGGCAGATTCCGCAGAAGCAGCAGTAGGTCGAGTCGCAGTTCGGGAAGCAGCAGTCAAAGATCCCGAAGTAGAGAGACGCTTGCTGGCGGTGGGTGTTGCAGCCGTTGATCGAGTGGCGGCCGTTCGTGTCGCGCTAGTGCTAGGGGTAGCTGCCGTTCGGGTGGTAGAAGTTCGTGGAGCCGTGGTGGATGTTGACGCAGGTCGTCGGGTAGCAGTTGTCGAACTTGTAGTACCAACGGTCCTCCTCTCAGTAGCCTTGCCCGGGCTAGACACGATTGAGCTTGTCCTACGAGCAGAAGAAGCGGTGGAGGTGGTCGACTTCTTATCATCTTCGCTGGCGCTCATACTAGGTCGGCTTCGGTGGCTCGCGCTAGAAGTCGATGTCGCAGGACGGCGAACAGTCGAAGTAGGAGGTCGAGTTGGGGGCTTGCTCAGACCGCCAGGCGCACGAGTGCTAGTCGTAGCAGGCTTGGCCGTGGTCGAAGTAGAGCCAGGTCGACGGGTGGCCGTCGTGGAGGCTGTAGCAGGCTTCTTCAAAGCTGGCTTTGACTCTCCATTTTCCTTTGCCTTATCCTTGGGAGTCTCGGGGGACGCAGGAGCGGTTGCCTGAGGGCTCTCGGGCTCAGTGGCAGCAGCATCAGACTGAGAAGCGACAGCTTCCTCGTGCTGAACAACGTCAAAGCTCTCGGATTCAGACATTTTTGCGGGGTCGAAAGGGTATTAAAAATAAAGTTCTATAAGAAAAGCAAATATTAGCAAAGAGGAAAGTAAAGAGAAGTGTATCCGTGATAGGTTATATATGGATGTCGCACGGAACTTTTTAAGTCAGTCGTTCAACAACCAAGCTCGACTGTCATCCCGGGATAATCAAGAGATGCCAGGGGAGGAAACAGCACGAGCCATGAGCTCTTTTGTCAAGGGTATGTAGGTATCAGCCGCTAGGAATTGGTTAATCTCACCTTGAGTTGGACTCCTTTTTATCCAGGAAAACCGCGCTTTGCTGGCAGCTAGAAAACCGTTTACAACGGTGGAGTATAAGACAGATAGAATTAAGGAACGAAAGAAAGAAGCAATGCAATGAAGCAGTTAGAGAAGTCTAGAATGACTCCTACACCGACGATATTCGCAAGCTTCTTGTTAGAGGGAGAGGAGATAAAATTGAAAAGGGAAGAGAGAAAGCTGAGCTGTCTTGTCGATGGGACGGGATATTAGATTGCGGATGGATACGTACCTCTTGGTCTATCACCTTGTGATCCATATCCTGAGCTGTTCTTCCCATTTCCACACCCAGTGGTCAAAGTGGAGTTTCACCGGCCACTAACATTACTTTTTCTTCCAGGGCCCTGATGGTCCCCAGCGGCCGGACTGTAGCGACCGTTCCAGGGGGGCGGGGCTTGTCGTCCACTGTCGCTTCGAATCAGGGGTCTTTGGGCTACGCGCGGGTGGCTTTGGTTCCTGGTTCAAGATCCAATAACTGATAGTTTTCGCTACTGGGCGGACATTAGACTGCCATTCAATGTCTTGGGTCAGAAACACTGGACCATTCTATAAGGCAAAGATCAGTCTGACCACTGAGATACCCCAAAGAGGCCCTAGACATTGGGCAACATCTGGTTCTGCATGCAACGACCCGCTGTATCGACCTAAGTAAGGCACTATATGCAATGCACAGCAATCAATGCAAGCCACGACCTGGGTAGCTTTCAGAAGCCTGAAGATCTATGAGCTACTTTATCCTAAACCTCATATTCTCTTGGTTCAGATCAATTAACAGCCCAAAGACAAAGGATTAAAGGGCGAAATCCATGCTCATGGCTGAATCTATCAAATCTCCCAGGGCGCGTGGGAAACGCGTGAAGATGGCCAAAATAAATCCTGATCTGTTGACTTATTACCCCAAATGACCTAGACCTGATTCGCCGCTTTTCCTCCTTGGGCAATAGCGTGGTCCCTTCGCCATCACATGTGGCGTTAAAGGCGCTTCAACCAATTCCAAAGTCTGTGATCAATTATACAAGAAGCCAAATATCAATGCAATATGTTCAGGCTGATACAGGCCAAGTGTCTAAATCACCACACCATTGCAGGGCGCCCAAGTTTGTATGTGCTGGCGGAATCACGGATGCTTTGTTCTTGATGCGTATAGTGTGTCAATGTGATAGACAGATAATGCTACCTTGGGAGTCAATGATGTGGCATTACGCCGTTGGCAGAACCTCAACGTCCATGGGAAACATGAAACATTATCCGTACACCAACTCAACTGCTAATAATCAATACCAGCTTCTTTCGGACCCTGATGTCATCAAAGAGAGCCTTGATGAGTTCACCATGACTGTTTCGCCATCGACGCTATTTCACCAGTACGTTAGGCCATGATACTCTTTGCCATAAAGAGGCATATATGCAATCGTTCTTTCATTAATCATAAGCAGTTTCGCTTGAATCCCAAGAGACGTATCTCGCGTTGTTCAGGGTATCGTAAAAGCAAATGCTCCCAACTCCAATAGCCCGTGACCTTAATTTCAATCTTCATCAACACACCATCCAGGTGGTTGGATACCCTTTCGCTCATACTTGTCGCGCATGACCATCCTCAAATATTTTGACCGCTCTTTCAGCTCCTCAGGCTCTCGATTAGGAAGCACCTGGTGGAAGACCTCGTAGTTCGGGTGGGATGTGGTTCGAATTAAGCTTAAGAGCTTATCATCTTCCCAGTAATACCAGCCATGCTTCTCAAAATATGAACCATCTGATGGCTCTTGCGATCTAACCAAGCCTGACTGACTGGTCACGGGATGATAGCTGCGTACTGTCTGTCGATATGAGCGTATCGTGGGCGGCCGCGGTTGAGATGATTCAATCTTTTGCATCGATTGTAGAAAACGCTGCATCTGAATATCTTGGATGTCTCTGCGCCGCTGCGCATCAGCCTGGCGTTCCATCCGAACAGCTTCATCCTTCTGCATAACTTTCCTTTGTTGTGCCGGTGCTCTCTTAATAGCATTAATGCTTTCCCTGGCCTTTTCGAGCGATTTCTTGAGCTGCTTTGTAGCTTCCCTGAAGAGTCTCCGATGCTCCTTAGCCTCCTCGTCTTGATCACGTTCTCTTCTGGGGGGATGAAGCTCGTACCAGCTTTCCACAACCTGGGAGAGTCTCTGGACCCAGCCTGCAGCCCTCTCCAGTGGCTGTAGTAGGTACACCGTGAATTCTCCTTTTTGAAAGCCTAGCTTTTTGGTACTTTCACCAGGTCTTCCGCATCCAGCCTGGAAAGACTGATCTAATACAAGAACAAGCATAGGAATGATACGTCTGTGCAACTTCGTCACATATTGATAGCCCTGGCTCACTTGATTCGCATTGTCCTGCTCCATTATCATGTTAATGCATGAAATGAACTCATCAATAGTCAAGCGAAGTGTGGTAAGTAAACTACTGAGCTGGGCTGTGTGCTCGCGAAAGTATTCCAGCTGCTTTGATTTTGACGATGAGGGGATATTCTTGCATAGTTCGTAGAGGCTGTAAAGTTTAGCCAAGATAAGCCTCGATCGTATACGTTTGTCGGGTTGCTCTTCCAATGCTTTAGAGGCGGTTTTTGCGTGCTTAAGAACATCCTTCTGCCACTTTCTTCCATCCATCCACCCTGAGTAGGTTGTGGTCCAAACGAGTTTCTGTACTGAGTCTCGTTTTATCCAGGCGGTAGGAATTAGGTGCGCTGTTTGCGAACCACTCGGTGGTGCGTCGAGCAGCAACGAGTCTTCAAGCGGATCCGATATACCAGGCTCTTGTTCTGCTGCCGGCTCATCATTGTCGGAGTCTTGAGCGTCATCCTCATATTCCCCCTCTTGATCTCCATTCCTATCTTTCTTTCTGGCACTCTCTTCATTTCTCTCTTCTTCTTGCTCTTCCTCAGCCTGCGATGATGCTTGATCGCTTTGTTGCTCAGGTTGACTGCTTTTTCGTTTGCTCTGATCAGTTTTCCGTCTGCCTACAGCCTGTGTGACATCCCTTTCCCCCCTTTCCACTATCAGCTGACTTGGCTGCTCTTGGTCGGACGGAACGTCATATATATCACCCCCAGCGTGGACTTGTTGCGATGTTGATACCTGTGTGGCTGGCGCTTGAGGAACCACTGAACCAAGATCTGGGGACACACCCCTTGCATCATAATGAGGTGCGCCATAAGTCGGCTTCTGACTCTGTCGTCTGTTTTTTCGTCGTGACGTTCGCCTTCGAGAAGGTGTATCAGAAGGTGGCATTCCTTGCGTCGCTTGAGGGGCCTCTTGCTTAGACGCTGGCGTTTCTTCATGCGACACTTCTGGTTGCTCGGGATTTCTAGCTGAAGCTTGGTTCTTTTCTGCGTCGCCTGTTTCATGCTCCTGTGGTATGTCGTCCAAAGCGATGTTTTCGTCCGAGTCCGCAATCTGAGGAACCCCCACATCAAAGATCTTCCTGCTAGCTCTCCCCGGGTGTGCTTCGGCATTGCCGTTTGGTCGGAGGTTGGGTAGCTCGTTGTGAGAACTGTTGATACCCAGGCTCGAGTTGATGTTGTTCAGAAAGTCCTGCTCTGGCAGGGCGTTTTCTTCCGCTTCGGAGGCTTCTTCGTCTTCCTGATTCAGCTGAGATGGCTCATCCTCTTCAGCAGTTTCCAGCGCAGGTTTGCGATGAGAACTGCGCTGGCGCTTGGCGGGCTGGTCTTTGGAACCTACATTCGCAGCGCGACGTTTCCTCGGAGCGGGCGAGGGCAGTTTTTCAAGAGGAGTATTGGCTCTTTTCGATCTAGTGACCCGACTTCGACTTGGAGAGGGCTGATCTTGCGGAATCGCATGGATGGTTGATTGTCGACTTGAGTTCGACCCTGTGGCATGAATCTGTACCTCAAGGGTTGGCCTAAGCGCGGAAGGTCTCTCTGACTGCTGTCTTCCAGTAAATTTTCGAGTTTTCCTTGTCGCTTCAGGTTCAGCTGACGAGCCATCGGCCTTACCCCTAGACCGCAGCTGTGCCACCATCTTGACCTTTTGTTATTGTGTTGTGTGAGATCGGGAGTGCCGAACGCGCCAAGGCAGCGCGTCCACAGATATAGATGTAATCGCGGTTGGGATACGTAGAAATCCAGTGACAGTTTTTTGTTTCAGCTTCTTAGTTGCTAGAGGTAAGTTTGGGGCAAGTTGAGAGCTTCAAGAATGAGTTGAAGTGGTGAATAACGGTTCTGACGGCAGGCGCATTGAAGGTTAAGTGCCCCATCTAAGAGGAAGTGGGGCGTGGGAAGCTTAAGAAGCGGGAGCTTAAAGCTGGGAATGAGAGCTTCCATGCGATATGCCAAATGACATAATTGTCGGGAGTAGAATATGACTTTTGAAAAGCCCTTATTCCTGAAGCATTAACTATATAGCTCGATAGCTTAGGATCTTGAGAATGCCTTTTTTATCTGTGAAGAGTTTGTCTATCTGCAAGATATCCTTCAAAAAGCCAGTCGCAAACATTCCATATCATGACCCATCCATATCTTATCAAGAAATTCCATCAGGCGCTGCGAAGTAGATGAACCGAGATCATGCATATTTTAGAAAGCCGAGACAGGAATCCATAGGAACTATACCTTAATAAAGAAATATGTATATCTATAACTGGGCGAGCTCATGTTTCTTCAAGCGAGGTAGGCATATGTAATTGGAGTTTCATGGTTATCAAACATATGAAAATAGCTTACTAAATTATCATCTGCAGCCATCCAACAGAACCAGCGCAGCTTCAATCAAGCACCAACGCCCACTTATTATTCTTGCACCGTAAAACTCACCTGACCCTCCCAAACAACGCTTCACTTTTGTTACATAGTCAAGATAATCTCAGCATCGTAACTAAGGATTCGAGCCGCCGTCAACATGACGTCTGCAACCCCTCCAAAACACCAGACTCTCGAGATCTTGGACCTCAGCTCCCCACCAGCGTTCACCAAACCCTCGAAGCGCATCAACGAAGGCCCCGATGTCGCACGGTTCCTCACCAGCCTTGCCTACCGTGATATCGGTGTCTTCATCCTCCAGCTTAACCACGCCTTATGTCCTCGAAATCAAACCTCGTCACCCCTCCCCCGCACCTTTGCCCTCAATTCGAAACCGCCGACATCGCCGTCCGTCCAAGCTCTACAGAACCTTTTGGCAAAGATCGAAAGCTTCATCGACCAAGCACCTCCGAACCCCGGTCCTCGACGATTTGGAAATGTCAGCTTTCGACAGTGGTATGCTATCTTAGAGGAGCACTTGGACGAGCTGTTAGGAGAAGGGCTTCTGGGCGAAACACTCAAGATTGGCGATGGAAAGGCGAAAGAGGAAGTCTCTAGCTACCTGCTTGGTGGTTTCGGCAGCGCTCAAAGGCTAGACTATGGAACTGGGCATGAGCTCAGCTTTATAGCGTTTCTTGGTTGTCTATGGAAGCTGGGTTACTTCAAAGATGGACAGCAAGGAGGCGAGATCGAGCGCGAGATTGTCCTCAAGGTCATCGAACCGTAAGCTGCCTTCACATACGCCGGTTGGATACTGCTAACACTCTTAGATATCTCAAAGTGGTGAGGAAACTCATCCTTACCTACACTCTCGAACCCGCTGGTTCTCACGGCGTCTGGGGCCTCGACGATCATTCCTTCATGCCATACGTATTCGGGTCCGCGCAACTTACACGACCGATAAACGATGACGAACCAATGCCTTTGGAGGGATCTGTCAAAGGTGCGCCTAAGCCTAGCGACGTTACCAAGGCCGCTGTTGTGGAGGACCAGCGACAGGTCAACATGTACTTTTCTGCAATTGGCTTCATCAACGATGTTAAGAAGGGTCCGTTTTGGGAACACAGTCCCATTCTCTTTGATATCTCTGGCATTCGAGACGGCTGGGGCAAGATCAACAAAGGTATGATCAAGATGTTCAACGCCGAAGTGCTGTCCAAGTTTCCCGTGGTCCAGCACTTCCCATTCGGTTCGCTCTTCTCTTGGGATGTTGATCCAGATGCTGCAACTCCGACACAAAGCGTCCATATGGCGAACCAGCCAGCCATGGCAGCCCCAGTACCTTCAGGGCCCGGGACAGCTGCACCATGGGCTCAAGCATCCAGAATGCCAGCTCCAACGGGACCCGGCATTCCCTATACTCGGATGCCACCACCAGGACCCAGTTCTGGGTCACTTGCTAGACCACCTCGAGGCGCTGCACCTACGAGTGAATCTACAAGCGCACAAATCACTGTTACCAAAGCACCATGGGCAAGAGATTCATAGGAGATATATATACTAGCATCTGGAGAATTTCAGCATGATACGGAGTCAAGGACCGGACATAGATAGTTATTTGCGCATTAGATCCCATAGATTCCCATAAGATTCCAATTATGCATCTAATACGACCATGAGTTTAGACTATGGGGAATATCTACTATCTCATCATAATTCCCTCAAATTGCAGTCTCCTCCTAAAAAAGCACAATCTGGAACTGGAGCGAGGGAAGTATCTAGGATATAGAAAGCGGGTATATATTTAAAATAAAGCATCGCGACACTTTTCTCTCTGGGTATCCAGCCAACTGCTAGGAGAAAAGCGAACAGACATGGACAGCGAGCCTGTCATGTAACTAAAAGACTCATGCCTCTAAGACAATTACGAACGCGCAATCTTGGCAATCTAATCGATCAAGGTGTTCTCATCGCGGTCTTACCTCGAGAGAAGGCAAGTTTGTTCGAGTCGCACTTAAGCAGAGGCCACAGGGGCAGGGGCAGGAGCAGGAGGAGTATCCTTCTTCTCTTCCTCCTTAGGAGCCTCAGCAGGGACAACAGGTGCAGTCTCAGCACCAGCGGGAGCGGGAGCTGGTGTCTCGGCGACAGGAGCAGTTGCGGCAGCTGGAGCAGCAGCCGGGGCGGGCTCGGTCTTGGCAGGCTCGGGAGCGGGAGCGGGAGCTTCGGTGGCCGGAGCAGCGTCGGGCTTGGCGGGTTCAGTCGCAGGAGCTTTCGATCATTAGTTCTAGATCATGGATATCGTGTACATTGCGACATACCAGCAACTGGTTCCTCAGTCTTGGCTGGCTCAGCAGCAGCAGCAGCAGCGGGAGCCTCAGGCTTGACCTCAGTTGCGGGCTTGGCCCCCTCCTTGGCAGGTTCGGTGGCAGGGGCTGCGGGTTCAGCTACAGGAGCTGGCTCAGCTGTGGCACACGACAGTCAGTAACGGAGTATTCAATAGATCGTATAGGCAGAAACGTACTGGCAGGAGCAGGAGGAGCGGCCTCAGTCTTGGTAGCCTCGGTGGCAGCTGTGGTATCGGCGGGTTTGGCTTCCTCCTTGTTATCCTTCTTCTTGAAGGCGGCCTTGAGCTTGGCCTTGAGGTTGTCAAGGGCGTGCAGAGCTGTTGATGGGGTTGTTAGAGTAGAATCTAGGGAAGCTGTCGGGTCGTAACGTACGGATTCCAGGCATGGTGTTTGATATAGGGTTTCTGGTGATAAGTGATGGTCAGCTTGATTCTATCGCTTATGCTTCCTTGAGCTGGTGAAGCTACTGGATTTGCTCGTTTGAAGGTGACTGCGACAAGCCAGGAAGATAAAGTCCACGCGAAGCATGAATCGAGAGAAAACGTACCAGATGAAGCTTGGTAAGATGATGCGTGTCTTGTCAAGACAAAGGGTAAAAGGTATCTAGAAGGTGAAGGAAGGTTAAGGATAAGGATAAGAATAGAGGCGGGCAGACGGGAGATGAAACTGCTCAGCCATGACCAGTTCGTAAGTCATGTACTGTACAGGTACAGTATCAGCCAGAGACAGAGGTAGAGCAGAGGCAGCGGTAACGGTAGTGGGTGACATTGGATGCAATCCAACCTAATCTCAACTGAAGCATCCTTGCGCTTCCAAGGATTCCAACTGGAACTGGAACTGGAATCTGAGGCAGCCACTGAAAAACAAGCATTTCCAGGGGTGGTGACAGAGGATCCACCGGATAATTTAGTAGTGATGGACCTCAGTTACGGGGTAGGTAATAACTAATAGGTAACTTGATCTTGATTATCGATAGGTTACCCCTGGTACTTGGAGGAGTGAATACCCAGGGGGGGACATACGTGTAATCCTTATAATCTTGTATTCTTGTTGATTCTGTGTTTTCTCTTGTGGAATTTTATCAGAGGTGAAACTGACACTGTAGGGAATTGTCAAGGGTCCAGAAGAGACATGCCAGGCCTTGTGACCCTGCACGCTAATATTGAAAATGAGACCGCCCTGACGACAGCGTGCATTGATTAGCCGCTGGTCCACTTGTCATTTAGTCAATCATTATCAGTGACAAGTTCCTTTTCCAAGCCGACGAAGTCGTTCCTGCATCTACTGTCGTGATTTACTGTTGATTGTACCTTATTCAACTGTACTTACTGGTACATCTCCTCGAGTCAGCTTCTCAAACTTGGCTGATAAAGTGCTTCAGCCGCTCGTTCTAGACTCGAACGACAAAAAGAGATACGTATCGATATCAAGGGATCCAATCGCATATTTACCCCACCAGACAAGCTTTCTCAATGCTCCGTCGCTGCTTTAGCGCTGTGCTACCCCCAAAATAGGTCAACTCTCTATCAACATTCGAATTATTGCTGCATGTACTGTACATGTCTAATTCTACATGATCATGAGATCGATTCTATGGTGATAATCTCTCTGTTAACCACTCTTCTACAATCTCCTCTCCCTTTTCATCCATCTCCATATTCTCCGACTCTTCCCCAGCATGTTCCATCTTTACCCGTCGACGTGGCTCATTCTCCCATATAGAAACATCCTCATCCCAGAATCCTCTCTCTTTCAGCTCAACCATCTCGATACTTCGTTGCATCATCTCACCCAGTTCACGCGCCTGCAGCTCCAGGCTGTTTCCCCACTGTTTTCCACTAAATGGCCGCCCTGGTCTGTTCGTCGCTGCCGGCACAGGATACGTGTCGTACAGCAGAAGTGTCTCGGGGATCTTGAGCGTCGATTTGCGGGGTGGAAACACCAGTCTTGACATGCGTGGTGTCTTTGTTTTCATGTTGAACTCAGCATTCGGGTTGGTCAGGACTTCGATGGCTGTGGACTCTTCTTCCGACATGTGGTAAGACGAGGGAACTTTTATTCCTGGATTGTGGAAGAAGAGGCTTGGGCTGGCAAAGACATCGAACAGGTCGACTGTTGACTGGAAGAATATCGGTAGGTTCTGCTGAAGGTAGTGAACGTATGTGCCCTCTCGAGGTCTGAAGTAGTTACTTCTGTTATTTGCATGCTTTCCGAGTCGATTTGCTGGGTGGTCCGGGAAAAACATGGTCCAATTGTAGATTCCGTTATATGCCACCAAACCCCGGACTGCAAATGGTTTGTGCGGTCGTGATTCTGTAAGGGCCAGAGATGAGGCGAGACTTGCACCTAAGTGAGAGCCATAGACGTAGATACCACGCCTCTTGAGACCTTCGGGAGCAAGATTTTCAACTATCCATTGATAGGCGAAGAAGGTATCGTGGATTGACGTTGGCCAGACATCGTCAATTGGAACAGTCTCGTTCGACTCGTCGTCGAAAGAGTTCCAGCGATAGTTGATGCTGGCAAGTGGCCTCCCTTGGAGAAATCTAGGTATATGAGGAGACTGATTACCAGTCACGGGTGAAGCTGGGAGTTGTATGAAGAGTGGAGAGTTGGGTTGCTCGGCAATGTTGATGAGGCTATTATGAAGCATTAGTAATGGGTTCGTGAGTATGGGGTGGCAGCTTACTCAATGCTCACATGGCCGGATGAGCCGCATCGTACTTGAACACGCTCATGGCTCTGGATGCTATAGAGTCGCTGCCTTGGTCTGTGGAGAGGATTGATGAGTCGACTACGACGGGCGTGATGAAGGGCTTGGAAATGGAGACATCTTTGCATGCTGCCACAGCATTACCAATCCATATGGTAAGTGATAACGGGGTTTTGTTGCAAACTTCAACATGGAAATTAGTCAATGCAAGTAGAAACATGACTGCTTGTTTGACTTACACGCTCTGCGATAAGTGAAGATGAGAAGATGCGTGGTTTTGAACCTCGATACTTTCGCTGGTAATGCACCAATCCAACTAACGCAAGCTAAGTTTCATCAAGTGAGAATCAAGCTGAAGAACCAATTAAAGAGTAATGTCAGATGTTTTGTTCGACTATAGGCCAACATCTGGAACCCTTGATCAGTGAACGATGCATAAGATGAGGAAGGGCTTGTTTTGGCTGGAGTGGAATTCGAACGTTGCATGATTCTTTAATATCATTGGCCAGACGATACTCACCCCACAAATGACGATCCGGGTATAACATTCATCGTTGGGGAACTCAATTGAATGAACTCACTAACGTTGAGAACAATGATCGAATCGATAAATCTTAGAGAAACACTAAAGCAATCAGATGCCGTCTTTTCCTAGATCCTGCATTAAATATTTGATTTGAGCCGCTGTATCCGCCAAGTTAGATCACCACTAACTCAACCCCCAAGGAAGGATATCCCTTGTCTCTGACAGGCCATGCAAGTCTCGTAAAGTTGGCTTAGCTCATGATCAAAACCCGTTTGTTTCCCTCTAAGATCTGATCTCGCCCCACGTCATTCCAATGGGCATGTGGATATTTATCCCCACGCCAAGAATTCTTCTTTGAAGGTCCTCCTTAAATCGATATGGATCCCTTCTTTTTGCCAAGAAATATATAAGTCTTGACTTACACAAGCAGTAAGCGATTGTCTTACCTAGGATATGCTACCTTAATATCGACTCTATCCTTGATATTGGATCGCCATAGGCTTGAGATATCCTCATGGACGACGGGGATCTCGGAGATAATATCCAACAGGAGACTGACATTATTGAAGAGTCCGTCTCTCATGACAGACGCATAGGAAACGATGATGCTCATCTGGCTCCAAAGTAAGCCTCACTTCGCCTCCATCACGTTATGCTCATCTCTGACTTTTCAGCCGCTGGTGGTTTGCTTCCTCAGCATTCCCCATGATCGCCGGCACCCTCGGCCCAGTTGCTTCAGCCTTCAGTATCTGCGCTCTCGTTCGCCCATGGAGACAACACTACATTCCCAGTGAACCTCTCGATGAAGCAGCTTTTGTCGCTGATCCAGTATGGCTCACCGCCATAAACGCGATCCAGCTCGGCATGGCCATCATATCAAACATCTTCCTCCTCCTAAACATGACACGCCGTGTACGCTTTACTATCGCTCAGCCTCTCACTATCATCGGATGGTATATCTCTGCTATTCTACTCATCGCCCTTCTAGCTACAGTTTCTGGACCGCTTTATGAAGGTTTTGGTTACCCGAGGGATGAGCTCATCTGGTCTCAGGCCTTCTACTACGGCATGTGGGCTGCCATTCTCTACTTTGTCGACGCTTCGCTTATGGTGATAACATTCTATGGAGCTTCGGTTGGCCATTACCAGAACGACTTCAACCTGACACCCAGTCAGCGAACTCTCATGTTACAGACCATCATGTTTCTCTTGTACTTGCTAGTCGGCGCCCTTGTGTTTTCCAACATCGAAAACTGGAACTATCTCGACGCCGTCTACTGGGCAGACGTAACACTATTCACTGTCGGTTTTGGTGATTTCACACCTCAAACAAATCTCGGACGAGCTCTCATGATGCCATACGCTTTAGTCGGTGTCATCAGCCTCGGTTTGGTCATTGGTTCTATCCGCAGTCTTGTTCTCGAGCGCGGTAAACGACAAGTCGATGCCAGAATGGAAGAGAAGAAGCGTCGACGTATCGTCCGAACTATGACCAAGAAAGGTAACGATGAGGTACTCGAGCCAATCCGAGAGCCACGACGGCAAGACTCTATGGTTTCTCAAGGTGCACAGTCAAACAATCAACTACCAACGACAGAATATGAGCGTCGAAAGGCAGAATTCGATCTTATGCGCAAGATTCAAGCTCAAGCATCATCTCGTCGTCGTTGGGTCGCCATGGCTATTTCCACCAGCGTATGGCTTATCCTGTGGCTCTTGGGCTCTTATATCTTTGTCAAGTGCGAAAAAGACTATCAAGGATGGATATACTTTGATGGCTTTTATTTCTGCTTCACCAGTCTCACAACAATCGGATACGGCGATATGACTCCCATTTCCAACGCTGGAAAGTCCTTCTTCGTCTTTTGGTCCCTGCTGGCTTTGCCCACCATGACAGTCCTTATTTCAAACGCTGGAGACACCGTTGTCAAGCTTATTCGTGATGGAACGCTTCGTCTTGGAAATGTCACTATTCTGCCGGGAGAGGACAATTTCAAGAGCGATCTCAAGTACATCATTCATAGATGTACCTTCGGTCTGATGTATGCTAATTATACAGAGCCGCCACCCCTAAACCAGAAAAAGAAACCAGCTTCGAAGGGCCCAAGTAATGATACTTCAGATTCCACGATCAAGAAGGAAAAGGAGAATCTTGACGAATACGCTCGCGGACGACCTAGGCGCTCTGAATCTGGAGAAGATGATGACCCAGCAGATCCGCGACCAGGCCAAAGTCGCAATAATTCAACCTTCACAGCTCGAGTTCGCCGTTCTCTGTCACGCCTCCGAGACGCCCATGAGGAGTTGCCGACAGGATCAAATCTACATTTCCTCCTCATCTCGGAAATCCAAGTTCTAATGAACCATCTCAAATCGTCAAAACCACACAAATACTCCTTTGAGCAGTGGGCATGGTACCTTAAGCTCATTGGCGAAGACGAAAGCAATGCCGAAACACATGGCAAAGCGCAGCCAAACAGTCGGCATCATCATCATCACCACCCTCGTCGCCGAAAAACGAATGAGACTGCTGAAGGTGTTGAAAAGGACGTTGTCCCCGATGATACAACGGCTTGGTCTTGGGTCGGTAATCGGAGTCCGCTTATAGGGAGTCAAGAAGAGACTGAATGGATTCTGGATAGGCTCCTTGAACGACTTCGAGAGTCTTTGTCTGTTGAGGGGAAGAAACAGGTCACGGCTGATGCAAGGAGAGCTCTTGGGGCTGATCGTCGACGGTCGCCGGATGATACATATCATAGGAAGAAAGATGGGAAGAAGGAAGATGTTTGATACCCAAATAGGTTACTAGTCCTTAAATGAATTTGCATACATACGTCAGTACTTGTCCATGAATCGATTAAATAGGACGAATCAAGATTATAATGGGCTTTTCAGGAAGATTCACGTATGGCTCTCATATGCTGCTTCTCAGTGCGATAAATCACCCTGTACAGGACTGGATTATTTGCGATTTCTTTTTTTCTATGCCGATTCTTCTTATCCTTGTGATTCCTAGTTACACTGTTCCAACATTGATCCGATCGATCATCATACAAAGCCATCCGTCGTTCCGTGGCGATATTTGTCCCTCATAACATCATACAACTTCAATGAGCCATCCATTGAATGTCCTCAACTCCTCCGATCATAATACAGCGTGTTGTTACAATGCGGTGTGTCGTCCATGTCTCTTAGTTGTTTCCTCCGAGAACAAGCCGTCTGTTGCGCTTGATCACCTGGTTCAATCCCTTCTCCAACTTCTCAGTCTCTCGTCGAGCCGCCGCAAGGGCGCCCTCTGCATCTTCGACACTCATCAACGGCATGCCGCCGACACCCATGCCGAAGTTCTTTCCACGCTCTTCGCTTGACATTCCAGCCGAGCTGAAGTCCTGCATCGCCCGGGCTCCATCGGGAGGGCTGTATATGCCCACACCGGCGGCAGCGTCGGGACCATAGAAGTAGGGTGCGAGAGAGTTGAGACTCGCAGCAGCCGCGTCCTTGGTAGGGGACGCTCCCTTAGGAAATCCCATGTTCGTTGCACCTAGGTTGAGGCGAGGAAGGACGTACTGGTTGATGTAGCTAAGCGCGTCCTCTCGTTGAAGCTTTCCGATAGGGTCTTGAGATTGGAGCTGGGCAGTGGCGGGGAAGATGTTGGGACGTCCATTGGGAACAGCTCGGCCCTTAATAAGAGAGAATGCTCCACTTCCAGGCTGATGTCTAGGGGCAATGAACGATCCGGGGTTCTCTGCCGTATTGGCAATGGCAGCTTGAAGTTCCAGGAAAGCGTCCTCTTCCTCAGGGGTCAGACCACGAATGCAGTCACCATTGGGGGTAATGAGCATGCGACTGCCATCAACGTGGAATTGCTTTCGGACAGGCTTTCCTGCGCGCAGCGCTGCAAGATCCTCGTCCTGAATTTCTCCACATTTGCAGGAGCAGTCCTTACAATGCTCAGCTTTATTGGCGTTGTTCTTAGCAGCACTGTAGTCGGTGCGAGATGAGCCATTGGCGATGGGCTTGAACAGTTGGAGCTTATCGACACTCGAAGCCCAGAGAGTATTCTTAATCTCAGAAAAAACCGATGCCGGGTCAGGCTGTGATCTTGCAGGTGGCTCTTGAGCGTCAGGGGTAGACTCCTTAGGGGACGCTGGAGGAGGAGGAATCGGTTGAGTCTCGGCCTCCTTTGCTTTGCCCTTGGATTTGATTGTCTTCTTTTGAGAAGTCTTGCTCTTGACAGGCTTCTCTTCTGGCTCTCTTTCGGACTCCTTGACAGGCTCTGGTCGAGATGGTGACTGGGATGGCTCGTCTGCGGGAGCCTCTGGGACAATAGAAGCCTCAGACTGTCCCGTCTTAACAGGCTTTTCCTTCTTCTGCTTCTTCTTTCGTCCTATGATAGGAGCATGCACCTCTGCCTCTGCTATGGGAGCCTCAGCGATCAACTTTGTTTCTTGCTTCAAAACATCCTTGCGTTGCTTTCGCTGTTGACTCTTTGTAGTGGTTCTTACCACAGCAGACCCAATCCTGCTGGGGGGTGGCGAGCTTGCTCGAGAATGGGTCACAGAGGCAGATACTACCGAGGCGTTGTCACTAATCATTTCGCTGGCAGGTGTATCTGGCCTGTAACTACCAGAGACAGCCCTGGAAGTGCCTGAGAACGCAACCGATGCCATGGTCAAGGCAGGAGAAGCAGGAGGAGGTGCCTCGGCCTTGGGGGTTGCAATGACACGCAGTGTCTTTGGTGCTGTCCGTGTGACAGGGGATGCAATTGCGGTTGACGAGGGTGTAGGCAAGGGGGGAAAGGCCGCTGAGGTCTCTGTCGTCGACTTCTCAGTTGTCGCAGATAGTTCACTGGTCTTCACAGCCATATTCTTTGCAACCTGAGTATTGACAGAAATGGGCATCTTCTCAACTGCCTGGGACGATGACGCAGATTTCGCTTCTTGAGCCTTGGTCTCGTGAACCTTGACTTCTTGAGCTTTGGTCTCTTGAACCTTGGCCTCCTCAGCTTTGGCTTCCTGGGCTATGCTCTCTTTGCTGGCTCCGGCCTTGGCCATCATTCTGTCCACAATCTTTTCAGCATGACGTTTGGCTTTTGGCGTAGCCTTGGGTGTAGGCGTAGCGGGTCGACTCTTGTTCTTTGATGTATCCAAAGCCGGAAAGTCCTCATCCTGTAAGATACTTGCCTTCGTAAGCTTCGGTTGCGATTGTGTCGTGATCTCTCGTGAGAGTCCGCTGTCGGCCGCTAGAGATTTAATATTCTTCTTTGCTTCCGAGACAGGGGTCGCTGGCTTTGGTTTTGCAGGCGACTGGTCAGGAGTCAAAGCACCTTGTGAGAGTCCAGAGGGTGGCATTCTAGGCAGCGCTGGCACAATGTTGGTGAGTTTTGCATGATCTTGAGTAGATGGAGGTCTCGATATGTTGGCTGGCAGTCCAGGGGGTAACGACAAGCCCGGGGGCACCGATGTGCGACCTTCCAGACCAATTGGCGGCAGGATGGGATCGTCAGAAACTAACGCGTCGACAGAATTGGTAGCCTCGTCCAGGGATGGGAGCTCATCATCTGAACGGTTGTTAGCACAAGTTCAATCACTCGGTCTGAATGTAAAGCAAAGCACAAAGACTACGCTACGAGAGCAACGCCCCATTTATATACAAGACTTTGGGGACAGGGTCATGCTACGGCGACCACCATCGTCTTCCACGGGGGACAACGAAGAGAACGGGCGATTTGGAGAGAATAGAGGGTATTGCTATTTCTGACCAAGGATACCGCCAAACCTAGGCGGATGAATTCGACATTTGTTAACATACATAGGGGGCTTGTGGAAGACGATGATGGCTTGCCTGACGTGAACCCCATGTGCGGTCATCCATAGACCTGTAAAAGTCGGAGAAAGGAGACTTGAGATATTCTCCCGTCACCCTCCGTTTTCCCCAATAAAACATAGATGACGCCTGATGCAAAGCTGACCTCCCAGAGCAGCATTAATCTCGCAAATGTTGCTGAATCAAGATGCGCTTGAAACTCGTGTCCCCTGAGGAAGATGAAAGGCAACTTTTCTCGCCTTGACCCTGATTTCCGAAGAACGCCCCCTTTGTGCATGAAGAAGAAGAAAAAGCCGATACCGATGAGGTTACCAAACATCACCCTCCCAGTCTGCAACAACTCCAAGAAACATCAAAATTACCACCTTCCATAGCCCGCATTATACATCATGTTGTGACTGTACCCACCTTGACTCTGACCACCAAACAAACCCTGTCCGACTCCGGCGCTGCCTTGAGACTGGTGCTGCATTCGCGCCTGCAAGATACTCGGGTCTGCAAGATCTACTAAGCCACTCCCCCCGGAGGAGGAAGTGTTAGCATGTCTGTGCTTCTTTCCCTTCTTCTTCTGCTTAGAGCCCATGTCTTGATACCCTCCAGGTGTATTACCATAGAGAGGCGGCAGGAGCCCGGAAGAAGGAGCTGGGGTGGAGGTAGAGGATGGTGGGTACTGGTTTGAATAAGAAGGAATCATAAACTCACGCTTTCCTGCATCATGGGACTGGTTATTACCAGCCCGACCGCGGCCGATTAAACTCTGAAGAAGCTCACTCGAATTGTCCTTGGGGGCGCCAAAGCCCTGTCCACCAAACTGACCGAACATGCTGGGAGGAGTGCCGGTTGACTTAAGACCAGGAGGGGGTCCAGGCATGGAGGCACCGTAAAACTGATTGTTGCTCTGCGATTGGAACGTGTTGGGCATCATAGAGGATTGCTGGGCCATAATACGTGGGTTGGCCGCAACCTTGACGTTGGTAGAAGAGCTGGCATTGTCGTTGGCGAAGCTGAATCGAGAGGATTGACGGTTGTGGCCTTGGCCTTGGCTTTGACTCTGATTCTGAAAAGTATTGCTCTGGCTCGTAATGCCAGGAGGGGCATCACCGAATCCGCCCTGGGATCGAAGATACAGCTGCTGCGGCGTCATAGATCGCGAACCAGGGTTCCCCGAGCTCTGGCCAAAGGGTGAAGCACCGGTGAGGGAAGGTCCAAAAAGCCCATCAGTAGAAAGTCGTTGAATAGGAGGCTGAGCACTAGGTCGGCGATCGAAGCCCCGGTTGTCGCTAGAAGTGTCACGATCCTCAGGCTCTCCTCCAAGAGCAAGGCTGCCACCAGTCTCAGGTTCTCCTTCCGATGGCTCACGAACCTCGGGTCGCTCTTCCTGTTCACCACTCAAACGTGAGTCTTCCTCCTCTCGCATAGCCCGGCGCTTCTCGCCACCACGAGGATCGAACATAGGTGGGTACAGGTCTTCGTCAGCGTCGGGAAAGATAGGCATAGGGCAGCTTTGCAATGTCTTATAAATCTCTTTAAGCCATGTATCAGCCGACTCTTGAGGCGGTGCGGGTGATTCAGGTTCTCGGGTCCTAGATGATGAAGGGCCAGCAACTGGCTCCTCCTGCTGAGGCTCTTCTTCCTCCAACTCATCCTCGTCTTCCTCTTCGACCGCTTCTTCTGGAACAGGCTCTGCGGTGACAGGCTGAGCTGTTGAAATAGCAGGGCTAGATGCAGCACCACTAGTAGCAAGACTGCCTCTGCGACTCCGCTGTGGATTGCGTGCCCAGTTGGCTGAGGAAGGTAGAGCTGATCCATCGGCACCATTCTCAGACCCTTCTTTACTAATAGAGCGCGTCATCGGATGTGATACGATGGGAGGCGGCGTTGGATGGGAAATCTGTTGTCGGGAAGCCGACCGCGAACTGCCTCCAGGCAGAGGCCGTTGAGATCCTATGCTGTTCATAGAGGACAGATCCTGCCGTGAGTAACTGTCCTCCTCATCGCCTTGTTCATGCAAGAACATGCAACCGGGGTTGCCGCATTTTTCGTTCTTCAACCAAGCTGAGCAATATTTCGTCGTGCCGTGCTGCGCCTTTAGGACTCGGTCACCATTGTGGGATCCGTGCACAGCTTGGATACACCGCGTCGCTTCTTCTGGGCGTTCGAAGGTCACGTAAATGCCGAGCGACTGATGTTGGCCATCAGAGCTCTTTCGGTTACTAATGGATATCTTTTGTATGTTGCCGTACTGGCCGAAGAACTCGGGCTTTCGTAGCGTCTTGAGAAGTTCGTCCTCTCGAACTGTCGGTGCAAGACCCGTGATGTAGACCAAGTTCTTTTGGACAACGCGCACGCCGATCAGATTCTTGCGGTTCTCCTTTTCGGCTTCGCGTTTCTGTAACTCTTTTTGTCGTTGATCCAGGGCTCGCTTCTTTTGGTTCTTTTGAATATTGGCCCGAAACTCGGCGACTCTTGGGGTTTGGTCAGCACAGCATCATGGCAGGAGAGGGTTCATCATACTCTTCTTGCGTAACAACTTTCCACTGTATGGTTTTTTCGTCGTAAGGTCGTCGGCAAGCGGGGCAAAGGCCGTTCATATTATTCTTGATGTTATTAAAACAAAACTGGCACACCTGTAACCTCGAAGTTAGCAAACGTGGCCGAAAGGTCAGGCTTGGCTAGCAGGATATTGTTCTTGTCATACCTGGTATCCACAAGGACATGGTCTGAAGTTCCTGTCCGAGAGATCAAACTCCTCGATACAGAGGGGGCTATCAAAAGGTCAGCTTTGGGTACCAAACATTACCCAAGGAGAAGTGCACTGCAAGCGCCACTCCCCAGGCGGGTGGTAAAGCATACCAGGTGTCCTCCTCATCTTCTATGAATGAATCTTGTGGCGCCATGGTGAGATGTTGTAATTAAGGTGAAAGGCAAGAAATAGGAAGTTTGAGATGCGATGTGCGGAAATGGAAATGTGAGTACAAGGAGAGGAACGGTGTTTGGTATGCATCGAGGCTGCGGGAAAGTGAAAGATGGAAAATATAGCTAAGCTATTCTCGGTCTAGCTTGGAAGCTCGAATCACGTGTAGGCATCTTCGTCATTGAAGGTCGAGAAAAGACAAGCAAAATAGCGCGATACTTAGTTTTGTGCGGTAAAACCACTTGTGGAAAGGTATAGCATTATTGTCGGCTCAAGTACGGGAAATCTCATTCACGCTTCTGCCGCTAAGATTCTCGAGCCAATGCTTGCGGCATCATTACCAACACCGTAAGGTATTTCGTCTCGACGACATCTTGCATCGCCAATTGGCCTCGAATCGTCACATAACCGGCCATGGCGACCAACATTTCTCGAAGCAGGGCATTGGCCTCAGCTCTACGACCCGCGAAGCCCTCTGTCCAGCTCCGTAACGACCAAGCAATCCGTTGCTTGTCCAGCACTGCCCGTCAATATGTCGCAATGCCCAAGGAGTCTCCCAACCTGCGAAAGGCCCCTCGAGATCACCCCAGCGTTCTGAAGGCCCCGATCGTCAACCCTGCCGACAAATATCAGAGCAAGTCCGACAACATGCACCGCTATGGTGCCTGGTTGATGGGTACTCTGCCCAAGTACATCCAGGAGTTCTCCGTCTGGAAGGACGAACTCACCATCTATATCTCCCCCTCGGGCGTTTACCCTGTCTTCAGCTTCTTGAAGTGTTAGTAACGCGTCAATTGGCTACAAGGCAATTGCTAAAACATGACAGACAACACTGCCGCTGAGTTCACCCAGGTTAGCACGATCACTGCTGCCGATTACCCCACGCGCGAGAACCGTTTCGAAATCGTCTACAACCTCCTTTCGGTCCGTCACAACTCTCGAATCCGTGTTAAGACCTATGCCGATGAGGCTTCTCCCGTCCCCAGTATTACCGGACTTTTTGATGGTGCCAACTGGTACGAGCGAGAGGTGTACGACCTTTTCGGTGTCTTCTTTGCCGGTCACCCCGACCTCCGACGAATCATGACCGATTATGGTTTCGAGGGTCACCCTCTGCGAAAGGACTTTCCCCTGACTGGTTACACTGAGATCCGATACGATGAGGAGAAGAAGCGTATCGTCACCGAGCCTTTGGAACTCACCCAGGCCTTCCGTAACTTTGAGGGTGGTTCCAGTGCCTGGGAGCCCGTTGGAGCCGGACAGGACCGCACACCCGAGTCTTTCAAGCTGCCAACGCCTAAGCCTGAGGAGAAGAAGGAGGAGCCGAAGAAATAAAAGGGTCCATGTTCACCCCAAGCTGTAAAAGATCCAATGTCATTTGTTAGAAATATCACCTGGTTTTAGCATCCATCCAATCCAATCCGTATATCCGCCCATCTATTTTGGTGGTGCTGTCGTCATCCATAGTGTCATATCAGATACGCACGCAAGGCGCTAACTTAAAAGCATCGCCCAACGTGTGGAAATGGGTGGTGCACACCGCTGGCCGATAACTGACAATGCCGAGGAATGCGCCTGTTGATAGCGTTACATGTGGTCCGGGAACCCGTCACGTCCCCTGGGTGCGGGCAAGGAACTGATTGGCACTACTTTAGGAAGCGAAGCTGACAATCTTAGACTGATTTGCCATTGCGCTCTCCGAGGAAGCACAACATGTCAGCTTTCATCATATTATATGCGGCTCCTCGATAGATTCGTATTCTAGCCTACCCCTCCCCATAAAAAGTATAACAAAGTATAATTTATATACCTAGACCTCTCCCCCCTGCTCAATTAACTTCCTTCTTCCATATTCATTCTTCATACCACTATTAATCTTCAATTCATCATTGTTTCCGAGCCATCTACACAATCAATCTGAAACACATCATCTACTTCACTCCTTCAACCAATCATGTCCAGTCCAACCAATAGTGCAACCAGCAGCCCTATCAAATCGAGAAGAACGTCTTCTACTGCATCAAATGAGAGCACTCTAAGCCATCACGAGTTGGAGTACATGTCTCTCCGCGACGAAAACCTCAGCTACGAAGATGATGTTGATTTCCACATCTTCATTGACGCCATGGACCGGGTCGAATCGCTTGTCACAGAAAGAGTTCCCCGAAGAGGACGAAAAGAGTCAATAGGCCGTCTGTTCAACGGACTCAACAACAAGCTACGCCGAGACAGTACATCAGGGCCGGCAGCAGTACTAGAATGAACTTAACGCCAAGGTTCTATCAATGATGTCGTCTTCTCGCTACCCCTTACAGCCAAGCCATCAGGATTTGAGCTTGGACCATGGTTCGATCTTACACCCGAAAAAGAGATTGTCTATGTGTACGATGAGTTATTGGGACCGCAATTGGAAAGGGTGTTCTTCATTTACGGGCAATGAGATTTTCTTCTTCTTCTTCTTCTTCTTCTTCTTCTCACCTGGTCATTCACAGGATGTACAATATTACCCAGCCGTGCCGTTCGTTAGACTCGGCCGATAGTCTACAAGCCGCAACTTTATTATATCAACGCGCAATGCAACATTCCTTAAGATGCCGAAAATGTCTCACCTTGGAAATATATCGACTTCTTTATGCTTTTCTAGACTTGCTTTTTTCCAGCTGAGCAAAAAAGCGAGGACGTTCATGACGAATTCTTGGAACAGTTTTGCCTCCATCAACGCCATTTGCCACCAAGGGGTAAGGAGTAAGGAGCAAAAATGTTGGGATTGGACGGACAACAAGGGACGTACAGCCGTGTATTTATCCTTTCATCACTATCTATTATCCTGGTGTTGATAACTTGTCTCCATGTACGGGGTAGCCAACAACCATATCGTATGACAGGTAACGTATATGCTAAGGTTGTTCCTGTTGGCCGTTTCTGGCTGATAGCCACAACGGTGGAGCGTTGTAAAATAAACTTCGACCATAGGTTGTAAACTCTTGGATGGTTGAGTTTATTACTATGGGGTATGAACTTACTGACTCAGAGTGCGATAGTTCTTCCCATCGGCATTCTGACAACCCCTGTTTCTTCAACTGGCCGGTTTAGGAAATCGTCACAGTCTGACTGCCGAACCAATAGCAATAGAAAGATGACTGTTGTTCGCCTCAAGGCTCAATACATGAGGATCAAGTTGTGTATTGGGTAATCGTTCATAAAAAGAATAGAACTCAGGTCCGGTCAGAAGGCATTCGTCAGTGTATACAGATAGATGAAGCTGTCGTCTCTTTGCTCTGTGGAGCTCATATAAGCGCCGTCCCCTGATCACCACTGCAGATGGTTACCTGTAAGCGCGTATCTGATCATATGTAGGGTCCATCCTGATTTGTCTACTGACCAGTAATGGCATGGTTCGCAATGTCATCAATGGCTAAGCATATTCTAATCCTCCTGAGTTCTTTACTCGATCATCATAATCACTATGCGAGTATCGTTCTGTAAATGGTTTCATTAACAAGCCACTTGTTCATATAATCAAGAATTTTTTTTTGGCATTTAAAGTATATTGCAATATGTCAATTCTTATATTGTGATGCTTTCCATGCTGTGTCTTTTATTCTATAGTCCCGAGTTGGCATGCCCTGCAATGACTTGGAGATGTCTAAGTTGGTGTCAACCTTGGCAAAAGGACGATCGAAGTTAGGCAAGTTCTAGTTTCATGCTAGCTATCTCCATCTCACTTATACCCCTCTAGATACCCGATGGCAAAACTCAAAGCTCCGAGGCTTTGACGCAGAGCCTTGTTTCTCCTCCAACTTCGCATCTGGAAAAGTCCAACGATCCAGAACCTTCTAACAGGTCTGTTATACTGACATTTCGCCATTTCTTGGTCATCTCGCTTTATTCCATCTACCGTCTGTCGCCACCACTTTTGTGCTGGTAACTCTTTATAGTGCCCATCTTCACTGGAAGTACCCAGATGGAGGACAACCCAGTTACCTACAATTTGCAGACAATGCCCATGACACTAATTCTGATATCCCTGACTGATATTTTGATGCATTGGATAGGCTACTGTCTCTTGCTAAGTAAGTACGGTGTTCCCCTAGATTTCGTTTCGTCATCTTTCACCCTCGGTTCTCCTGTTCAGTACTCCTTCAGCTGGGAACTCTGGGCTACACTGCTAAAGCCAGGGGTAAAGATAAAGCATGCAAAGCGAGGTACACAGGTCACGGGCGTACTGGCCATCATAACGACAAGCCTCTCTGTGGCAAGTGTACCTCTCTCTGCTATTGAAATGGTCCCTCGGAACGGATGGTGGCAAGTTCAGACGCCCCGGGGGAAATCCAGCAGCAGCATGAATGACCAGTTGAGACGACTTCAGCCGATTACCGACAACCCACCAACACGAGAATTGCCAAGCAGCATACGACAGATCACCAACACCTCAGTCTCTTCAGCTGTACCAGATTCATGTCTCACTTGCTATGGATGTTCCTGATATTGTTCAGTTTGCGGTCGCTACAAACCCTACGACTGGTGTAAGTGCTACAATAAACACCTGCTCACGAGCTCTCTGAAGGAGACTTTAAAAATTCCCTCATCAGAATATCAGTGGAAGCTAATGAATGCAGCAACCTATTGTGGCTGCAGAGTGTTAGGCCAACAGGACCATGAACAACGCTACTTCATTCTTTTATGATCCTAGCATTGCAAAGAATAATATGTCTCTGAACTCAGACGAATATAATGAACTTGAATGCTCCCTTGGGAATTCTCAAAAGGGGAAGGGCGAGTGTCCTGATGTCGAGTATCACATCTTAGGTTCTTCAGACACTCCGGGTTTCCTCTCCCATACGGCAATTATGTTTCTCTATGGCAAATTAGAACCCGACGTTTCAGGGGACGCAGAGCTACAATCTACTCTTAATCTAATACAGTTTCAATCGGTAGAAGCGGATTTGGGCTGAAGAGGGCAAATCTCTCGTACAAACCCATCTCAATTCTCCCTTATTCGACACAAAGGCTCAATTTGGTGACCAGGATAGATCTGGGCGTCCCATCAACATGACTAGAATTTAGCTCACCGTGAAAAGTTGACACAGAGATTCGGAGAATTGGCCGTGAGCCTCGCCAGCAAACTCGTCATACCAGGAGACCATTGACTTCTGCACTGCAGATGAACTAGCAAGAGAAGCCTCTTACGATTTAGACTGTCTTCCCATTATTCTGGCTACATATGTGACTGATTTTCTCTCGCAGACAGGAAATATTGTCATATTTGATGAGAACCATGGTCGAAGAACAGACAACCCACCACCAACATCAAGGGATATCCTATTTCATCAAACATACTTTATTGGCGGGTATGATTACGGTTGGCACAGCAGCCGTACGATTCCTTTAGCCTCCTCGGTTCTATTATTCCATGTTATTATCAATTGTCCATGTGGTGGTTCTCTCATCGCGCCACCTCTGGCAATGTGGGATAGTTTTGGATAGATGATAGTATTGGCTCTGCGTTTCAAGAACTACAGATGATCTCGGGAGCGTCGGTGGAGGTGTACATAGATCTCAAACATGGAGCACTTCTGTATCAGCCAGGTAGGTTGATGACAAGGCACATTTGGAGATGGTGCTTCAGGGCAGGATTGGAAGCACTTCACACTCTCAGGAACTGGAGAGGGAGGTCAGTCATGAAGGACTACGTACAGGTCTTTCTCGTAGAAACCCTTGTGTAAAATATCATTAAACAGTACGGCGGGCATAGTTTTGACAGGACAAACAGCTTCGCATTACATTTAACCATGCTTAAGGACTCTTCCAACGTCATATGCTAGCAGTTCTATCTCTATTAGATCATATCCTACAGCTTCATACCTCATGCTGTTCCTGGTCGCTATTGACTGTACCATCAACAGCAGTTCAGGACATATGTGTCCAGCACCTTGAGTAATAATCTCCCAAGGAAAACGAGCTATTTTCTCCTCCCATGCCAGACAGTCCGTCGCTTCTTCAAAGATAAACGCTCATCCCAGTGCTCCAACGACAAAAAACTCCACCAAACATTATTGCAAAGACTGGCAGCGCAGGGAAAAACAGGAAGACCAAGAAAGGCTCACGCAAGATTGTCTCCACGCCAGTCTCGTGGCCATTCTTCTTTCACAAAGGAGAAAAGGAAATTGGAAGTGTATGTTAGCAAGCCTGTTACGCCCTCGTGCGCTCGTCTTCCGGAACTCCGCCATATGCTAGGGCTGATTGAAAACGCTGCACGCTGTCTGAGGCACTTGCCCCGGCAGCTAATGATAGTTGGTGGTGATAAAAAACATTAACATATATAACGATCAACTCTGCGAATGAGCTTTGCACAACTACTCGGGCTGTTACCACATATCCTCTCGCCCATCTTGCCGACGATCGTTCCCAGTGTCATGGTACTGGTGGTAGTATTCCTTGGATCCCGGTCCGTACCCTTCTGGATCATCGTAGCCATAGTCTTGGTGGTGATCTGTGCCGTGCTCATCCTCATAAATCTGAGCATCGTCAACATAATCAACCTCTCCGTTGCCAGACTCGCCGTATTGTACCGCGGCCTGTGGTTGGAATTAGCAAGATTGTTTATATAATTATTTGTGTATCGCTTACCCGGTGATAATCGAAGTCGTATTGATCCATGGCTTCCTGGGCATCTTGCTCTTCCTGCATCTGCTGTTGAGCCAGGTATTCCTGCTCCTGTTGCTTTCGACGAGCTTCCTCCTCCAAGCGCTTCTGTTGCGGCGAAATGGGTACGTTCATCTGAGGATGCATCGCCTGAACTATAGCCAGGTAACTGTACATGAAGTTGCTCAGTAGAACTTGGCTGAGCAAGGGTCGACGCGGGTTGGCCAACTTGATATGAGCCATTCGATATATCGCTCTCTCCTCGAGTAGAGGAAACCTTGTCCAGTGATAATCCACATCAGGGACTAGGGGCTTATATACTGGCTCCTCGGGAACCTTGAGGTGTTGGGTCTTCTTCGCATTTCGCTCTTTCTCCTCCTTCTTCTTGCTTCCACCAAAGATGGACGAGAAGATACTACCATCCTTGTCCCTCTTGGAATCACTCTTGCGGTGACTCTCCTTCTTTCGTTCTTCCTGCAATTTGCTTTCCACGTTGTCACGGTCAAGAACAAGGCTCTCACGGCCCTTGGGTGCGTTCTTGTCAATTGATGTTTGAATGACATCCAATCGTACGTTGTCCTGAACTCTTTCGCCGAGTGATTTGGTCTTGGACTTCTTGCTCTCTTCTTTCTTCTTTTCTTTGTCATCACTTGTACTCTTGAACCATTTCCAGGCACTTCCGGAAGACTTGGTCGAGCTTGAATCGTCATCCCGATCCTTCTTCGATTTCTTTTCGGATTTTCGCTCATCCTGGTTCAGTGTTGGTATGAAAGTGAGGCTATCAGTTCGCGATGAGCCACTTCCAGGAAGTAGTGAAGGGTTTGCCGCAAGATTATCGTTCAAGGATTGGCTTTGGGGATATGATGATCGGGAGGTATATTGCTGTTGTGCAGGCTGAGACGCAGGCTGTCGACCAATGCTTCGTCGACTTGAGCGGCTAGGTTCTTCCTCTATCACGGGTTCGGGTTCCGACATTCTCTGAGAAATAGGGTGAGTCTTTGCGTTTTGAGACGATGACCGTTTTGGAAACTTCTGTTCATGCTGATCGTGAGCGTCTTGGTGAATTGAGGTCTCAATCGTTGGAAGACTCGGTGAAGGTCGGATGGGTAGCTGGTCTTGAAATGTCTCTGCACGTTTAAGCTCGCTATTATTGGTCCCTTGCCTTGTTTCATCATAAGAATCGAAATCTTCCACTGACTCCTGGGAGAACTTATGTGATCGTTTGACTGTGCGATTTTGTTGTGAGTAGTTGTCTGCTACAGGCTCCGACTGGACTCGCGTAAGACCGTGACCGGGTGGTGCTTCCAGAGGAGCGAAATTCGAATCCTCACTGGGTTGTTGCCTATGCCCAGACCGTCGAGCCAGAGGTCCAGTCCGTAGACTGCCGCCCTTGCGATATGTTGTTCGAGTTGACCTCCGTAGTCCCATACCTGGGGCAGCAGGCAAAATTGGCATATCGTCTGCATTGCTCTCGGGTCCAGAGGGTGCCACTTGAGATTCTTGAGCAAATTTCTGCACGGCTTTCGTGGGATCTTTCACGAGTTCTTCCAGACTGAGTTCATGACTGTGGCCCCGTGAGCGTTTTCGATCTAATCGATCAGCACCATCGACATAACCGAGAGCACCGCCATCTCCTGAATTGTCTATTTGTCGTGACAGCATGGACTTTTTCCTTCTTAATCCCCCAGCTCCCGAGTCGCCTTCGTTGGTATCGGTATCGGCGGACAGAAAAGAGTCTCCGGACCTTCGTCTTATCGAATGAACCCTGTTTTCGAGGAACGACTTAAACTCGCCGGGAGCCAACTCTGGATGCACTCTCGCAGGTACCCAAAGTAGTCTTGAAGGGTCGTTCTCATCGTCGTCACCGCTTGGTGCTATAGTCGGCATAGCCATTAAAGACATGGGTGGCATATCAGGATCCTTGTTGTTTCCAACATCCATAGACAGCCGCCTGAGGGCCTGTAAATTACTCAACTCCTGAGCGATGTCATTTGGATTATCAATGTTCGTGAGAGAAAATTGCGAGTCGGCTTGAACATCACGAAGTGAAAGCGTGGGAGATAACGGCGATTTCGGTCCTTGTTCGAATGAGTTACTTCGCTGGCCTTGTGAAAGCGGTTGAGGCCGTTTGGTCGGGTCGCCATTAACAGGCGATGTCTCGCCGGCGGACGATTCGGAATCGGTTCGCTTAAGACCTCTTCGTGTGTCTACGGACAGAAATCGATCATCTGGAGGTGGTCGAGGGAGCGATTCTTGGTAAGGTGTCGGGCCGCCTATAAAGCTCAGTGGACGATTTACACTCAACGGCCGACCACCTTCTGATCCTGAATCGTCCTCATCGCCATACAGAGTACCAATAGCCTCGGTAACATGATGGCTTGGATCGGAAATCGAAAGCTGACTGGAATGGCCGCGTCTGCTAGCAAAACTGCCGCCAACATCGCCGCGGGGTCGAGATGATGTCTATACAGACAACAAACTAGGATCAGCATGGGTGGCGACAACTTGAGAGAGCCGGGACAAAATAAACAAAAGAGCGCAATTTCACCAACTGCCAATAATTGCGTGTTCCATATAGAGAAATAAACATTCGGTGAATGCAAATATTGACGTACCATCATCGACGGCTGGGTGGGCCTCAACGGAGGCTTGCACGCCCACGATTGCCTGTGTGCGGTATCCCGGCTTGTCTATTAAAACGATGCTGAATGTCGAATCTACGTTATCATGGGCCTTAGTGCACCACGGTACTAGCGGCGCAAAGTAATGGAACGTCTGTGGCTCGAAAGAATGAGAGGTTTGGTCACCTCCTGGGACGGCGTTCTCGTCAAGTCTGTTGTCGCATGGGGAGGATGTGAGGACGAGCCGCTGATCTGTATGTCGTCCGTCAAGGGTTCCTAGTGTCCAGTATCGTATCTTGGTGGGGGCGATATCGTCTATTTGAGTCGTTTCGGGTGATGTGATCGTAGAGGAACTGGTAGGAGGCTGTGGCTGTTTCTTTGAAATAGACAAAGACTCAAATCAAGGGAGACAGAAAGAAGAGGTTCGTCCAAGGCCCAAGGCGAGATACAAGTTGGGTAGCCCTGGTAAGGGTAGGTACATGCAATCAAAGGGTGACGGTACTTAGACCGGGGCATGAGACGTGTCAAGGTAGGTCACGTGGTGGAGGCGCTTACAGCGGGTCATCAGGCGCTATTCCACTGTATCACAGCGCTATCTTGCACTAAAGTTGGCGCCCGTCGGGGTGGTTCAGTGCCGCAGGCCCATGTGAGTTGATGGATTAGAATTGGACATCTATCCATGGAGACTATGACTCTAGGCGGATAGTGTCTTGAGAATATACTAAGGATAAACATATAACATGACTTTCTGTCAGATATCCGCATAGGATAGACAGTTGTGCATGATTAATAAATCATGTGTCAGGTACCGAAGTTGCCTAGTCATTATGGATGCGGTCATGAAGCCTTGCTTTGAGTTTCTAACTCGCTGAACGTCTGTGCTGGGCTGGTCAATGTCCCTTCAATCCCTCGAATCAAAACCAGGAGTAAAGAGCCCTGAAAAAGGGTCCATCCTTGCTTGCCCAGAATGAAACCGACAGACAAGCTCATTTTCTTCTTGGCCATGTTAATAAAGGGTTTCTCATGTCCGAAAGGACGGTATTGTCACGTCTGCGGTGCGCATGGCAACCTACTTGCTGTGATGGATGGTGAATATCACATAACGTAGCGGCTAATATCATTGAGGGGGTGCCATGGTAACAGGACCAAATAATCGCGGTCGTTTTGACCCGTGAGGAATATCTCTTATGGCATGGCTGTATGCTCCAGACAACACGAACAACACTTCATTCAACACATACCAAATGACAAAGTTGAGTCCTGGTTTAGGTCAGTTTTCACGTAATGAATGAGCTTCTAGCGTGAGCTATAATTATCCATCACTGAAACAGGTCGCACATGCGCGTTGACCTTCATGGCTTCTGCATTATCTAGAGATGCCTTTGTTTGTATTGGTCTACCATCAGACAAAAAAGAGTATATAGTAGAAGAAGGAGATGTTAAACTAAGGGCTTTCATTTTTGTTGTAAATGTAACATCTACGTAAATCATCTAATAGGCAGCAAGCGCAAGAAAGGGATGGAAATGCCGATTAGTACACTGTATAGCTACAAATCACCGAAGACCTTACGAGATTCTTGCTATTGTATGCCAACCTCAGTCAAGTATGACTATAAGACTTGGGATAAGAGAAAATTGTTGTTTCTAGAGAATGCGAACTAATATATGTCAAAAAGAGCCTGTACTTTTATTTTCCTGAACCTCGATATCAGCTCTTATACTCACAAACAAGGCCGAAAGTACTACTACAATTTTCCATGTTGCTGAAGCCTAATATTTTACCCTGGTCTATTTTCCGATGTTTGTTTAACTTTAACATACTCATCTGAGCGTTTGTTTCGTTTGTCTAGAACAATTTATCGTCCATTTGTTATTTGTTTCCTGTATTAGATAAAGTGCTTGATGACCGCATGATCGGTCGCATGTGGGTGTTATCCTTGTCTCAGATCAGCACAAAGCTATGATACTCAAGAGCCAAGGCCAGCCCCATGCTTCTTTCTAGGTCTTCGTATAGAGATATTCTATCGTAGGCTTTATTCCTGTTTCCTAGTAGTTTCGGGGTTCTTCTCGCAGGCTCTCACACCGGATCAGTAGGGAGGGAATTGGGTCATTTGCAAGTCATGCTAAATCTTAAGGTAAACAGAGTTACATTGGAACTCCAACAGCACCATTACTCCAAGGGCAACTCTACCCCGCTGAACTTGTTACGTATCGAGCAAGAAGGTAAGTATACGGTATTCAACTCATGCGGGGGGTTTGTGACGACTCGGACAGTAGGCATCGCTCCGCACCGTCGGATATCCCCTTCATCTGAAGGGAGCAGCGCAGAAGTAATCGAAACGTTGAAGACATTCATTACAAAACTTTGCAACTTGCGAACAATCTGACTTGCTTAATCCGATATCCTTCATGATCTTCATATGTTATTGTCCACAAAGTTGCTGGATAATTGTCCTGAACCCACACATAGGTAGGTTGTGGTTTCGTGTAACTGGCTACCTTACCTATTCAACCGCTGATAGTAAGCTCACGTTGCCACTTCACCTGCCCCTCTGGCCACAAGCAACGGATATCCGTTGGTTTCTCTTTTATTCGCTATTTGAATATTCACGTATCGGTGAATAAGAAAGTAAATCAGGATTATTGCCCTGTGAGAACCTTGGTGTGTATAATTGTGTAATTGAGTCTGATTGTCAGGCAGGACTATCCGTTGAACTCGACAAAGGAGATTGAGCACCATAACCTTCTGATACCGAGGTTTTACATCAGGAATCGACTCGATTGAGTGTCTCAGCTTATAAGTTAGGCAACATAATGAATGCTTGCTCTTCATGTTAAACTTGGTCGAAGCAATCAGTGAATTGAGTGAAAAGCTACAATCTGGTAGTAGGTAGAGAAAGTGGGATACTTGGAAGAAATCAAGATCAAAGATTTAGGAAAATCTCCCTATAACTTAATTATAAGAGAAACTATAACATCTTTCTCAATATCATAGATTTCTGTCTATATTCACTTCGAGGTAGTATCGTTTGTGCAGGGTAAGGAACTTTTCTTCAAGGCAAAACGGTGACAAGACCTCGATCTCAAACGGTCAGTTTCTGCGATTGCCGACCATTAACCGTTTGGAGCATCATTGAATGAGCTTCCCCTGGTCTAGGCCCAATTAACACTTCCAGGCGGACAGGTACCTCATCAGAGGTGAAGCTGATGCGGCTAGTCCAAAAAGGGTAAAGCCTTTGACTCCCGATTCTTGGGGCCACCTAGAAATTATCTCTACCTCTGAGGTAGCCTTGCTACAGCTACGAAAATCCACCTCCCCGTGATTGCCTCCCTGTCTTCCATTCCACATCGTCACCTCTTTTGATACCCATTCATCCTATTACGGGAGCTCTATCTCATTATTCAGAGCATACTTTCTCACCATCCACGCGATTATCCGAACACGCGAATCTCCGACCGATTTCGAGCGCATAGAATCAGTTGATTGATAGAATGGCTGCTGTGAGTGCTCTCCCCATGACATGGCCCCTTCTATTATCCGCTACTTGCCCATCTCCCTCGCACTGTTCACGGCTTTCTACAAGCGAGGATAAGCTTCGCATTATTTGCAACGCCTTACCAGATAGCCCATGGCCATTTCTCGCTCTTTCCGTGTTGCCTTACCCCCAAGCCTACCTTCTCCCCGCTCGCGTGTTGTCCCGCCGTTGCGCCCCGTTAGATGGCCTCCTTCGAGATCCGCAACTCCACGTCACTATGCACTTTCACGAAAATGCGATTACCCCAACTGCGCAGTTGGCTATTTTGAAATTAACATTAGCTAACATTTCTCCAATAGCCGCGAGCATACAATAACCCGGGCCCAGGCTACCTTCAGAACGGTGCCGGTGGTCTTCCTCCCGCTGGTGCTGCACCACTTTTGCCCAACCAGGGTCGCGTCCTCCAAACCGGTCCCCTAAGAGTTCTGTGTATTGCCGATGTTCGAGGTTGGTAACCATGGGAGAAGCAGTCGGCTGAACGTTAAATAATGTTATAGGAAACCTGAGATCACTCAACGATCTTGCGAAACAAGCCCGAGCTGACCATATCATCCACACCGGTGATTTTGGTTTCTACGACGACACTTCCCTGGAACGAATCGCCGAGAAGACGCTTAAGCATGTTGCGCAGTATTCGCCCTTGATTTCCGAGCCCGTAAAGAAGGCTATTCAACAAGGAGGACCAGGCCCCGTAAAGTCCCGATTTCCTCCAAATGAGCTTCCTCTCTCGGAGCTGCCTCTCCTTATCAGCGGTGAGGTTAAGCTTGATGTTCCCGTCTATACCGTCTGGGGTGCTTGCGAAGATGTCCGAGTACTAGAGAAGTTCCGAACTGGCGAGTACAAGGTCCCTAACCTGCACATTATCGACGAGGCTCGATCAATGCTACTGGAGGTTGGCGGTGTTAAGTTGCGACTACTTGGTCTTGGTGGCGCTGTTGTCATGCATAAGCTTTTTGATAATGGCGAAGGCCGCACTACTATTGCTGGTGGTCAGGGTACTATGTGGACGACTCTCTTGCAAATGGGCGAGCTTGTCGACACCGCGCACCGAGTTTACGATCCTACCGAGACCCGCATCTTCATCACACATGCGTCTCCTGCTCGTGAGGGTATCTTGAACCAGCTCTCAGTAACCCTCAAGGCCGACTTTTCTATCTCTGCTGGACTCCACTTCCGATATGGTAGCTCTTACAACGAGTTCAGCGTCAACCCTACTCTCGACCATTACCGTGGCAAGCTTGCTGCCTCCAAGGCTTCTTTCAACGACGTTTGGGAGACTGTCAAGAGTGAGGTGGAACCTGCTATCCAGCAGAATGAGGCCCAGCAGAACCTTCTGAAGAATGCTCTGCAAATCGTCGAGAAGATGCCAACCACTGCTGCTGGTGGCAACCCCTTCGGCGGTCCGGCTGCTGGCCAGGCTTCCCTCGGACAAGTCGATGAGAGTGCTTTCAAGAATATGTGGAACTTTAACCTTGCTGATGCGGCTTTCGGCTACCTGGTTCTCGAGATCCAGGATGGCCGTATTGGTACTGAGATGCGTGCTCAGGGCTTTAACTTCTCTCACCGTGGCGTCAAGCAGCAGCCCGGCATTCCTCCCACTACAGCTGGCCCAGCCGGTATT